ATTCAAGGGTTGTTGTTCTTATGGAGGAGATGATATAAGCGAGGATGGATTTTACGTGAGCCGAATTTGTAAGAGTGATGAAGATGGCAGATTTTCAATTGCTGAACCGGGTATTGACCGTAAAGCTACTGCCTTCATTGCCAGAATCAATGAGGGGCGTGTTTCTGCCTAGCTGTTGCTCTGTACCCTCCATTTAATTGTTATGCTTTTCTACTTCTAACTGAGACATCACCTCAAGTGTGTTAGCGCGGGTATGACTATAAAAAAATAATAAAAATGTGAATTATTCTTATATATTTTTGTTATTCTTGGCATGTCGTGCTTCTTTGCCTAGCTCTTTGATTTTCTTTGAAGTTAAGTCTAGATGGACAGTGTGGATTAATTGATTATCTCGTCATGGTTAGCATATGAGTCTTTAACTGGATTTATTTTGTTATCATTCCTATTATATATAGAGTTAATATGCATGGGCCGTATATGAAAAATGGGATTGATGTTGATGATGGTACTACTGCCACTTATATACGAACTTGATCACCGGAGTAATTGTTAGAGAAGAGGAAAATTAAGGGCATGCATGCATGTAAGACATATATAGAAATGATAGAGCTAATTATATGCAAGCATGGAAACAAGAACAATTAAGATGTTGTGTTCTTTTGATTAATTTGTAAATTAACATTAACTCCGTACATGTTGTACGTACTTGCGTACATAATCAACCCAATTCTTTATCTTCCCCTTTCCCCAGTTTGCCATGCCTTTTCATTTCCTACTCTCTCAACACAACACAACGCAAGATTTATTTAGTTATTGAGTTTAAATTGTACTCAGTTTGTTAACATTTTACTCATCAATAGAATGCCTGACTCAAAATTCAATAATGATTAAGAGTACTGAAACAACCTTGAGTTTGAGGTTAAATTCACTAAAAGATCGACCACTCAAATCCAAGGACGTCCTCAAGTTGTTTGTTTCCAAGAGAGCCGCGTAAGGTGTTTCAATTAAACAATAGAATTTGTAGCTAGTGACCTTCACTTTTTTCAAAGAAGCTAGCAGCTTTTAACTCTTTCTCTGAAATTAGAGCTATTGCTTTTAGCTTAGGAAGCTAGGTAGCTAGCTTTCTGATATTTTTTTACAATATAATTTGTTTCCTCAACGAATACTTACAAATGCATGCCTACATAAACAAGTATAAATTTAGCACTAGTACTTCTGGTTCTGGTAGGGGCTGGCGAGCGATTGCTTAAATCTTCTGTTGCAAATTAATGCGGGCACTGAAAGTGGCGATATTCATGAATTGACAAATACTTTTACCTATTCATGGACATGATTTAGATGAGTGGCAATTATTTGTAGAAAATTGTGTCGATCATTAATATCTAAGATTCTATATATTGTACAACAAAATCTGTCTCGCGTCCCATCTAGTTCATGAATTATAGGCAAAGCTATAGGTAGGAATCATAAAGTTATTCGTTTTAAGCTTTGATCTAGAGCTTACTGCTTTCTATATTCGAATTCCCTGTTTTAACCATGCATATGTGGATCCTCCTTACCATTTTTATATATGTGTATCGGTATATAATTAATTTCTTTGAAATTATTAATACATATATGCAATGAGCTAGCTGTAATACAGATTCTGCTTGTAATTGTATATATAAAAAGGAATAAACAGTGGTAATCATCAGATGATTCTCAATCTCATCAGGGATTATGGTAATATAGGAACCTAATGTATGTATATATATATGGCGTCCACCTCATGCAAGTCTAATTAAACCCCCTGAAAAATGTAAGAAACAGTAAATAAATAAAGAATTAATATTGTGGTTAAGAATTAGAGAAGTATGAAGTGATAATCAAGGATTGTACTGGAGTTATCTTTTGCATTAAGTTATGAATGAATGAAAATGTGAGTATGCATGACAGGCTAAAAGGTAACTCACGATCTCCTGTTAAGGTTCTGTTGCTTTATGGAGAAGGGAGGACCATTCATTAGAATGTAAATGAAGTTGCTTTTCCTAGCTTTTTCTGAGATCCCTATTTAGCTATTATTCCACTACCCTTCTGGCTTGGTTCTTCAACTTCTCTTCCAAGTGCATGCACCTTTATTAACAACAAACAACTATACTTTCACCCCACCATCTGCTTAACTTTCCCTTACTCATCCAGATCCCAATAGCTCTCCTGCATTTTTTTTTTAATTAATATTATTTTGTGCTATGCAGCAAATCATTTGTTCTTTCTAGTGCTGATCGTATCAAACTCGATCGAGGTCTTTGGATCCCTTATTCATTAACTAATTACATTACTACCTGCATACAGCAAAGAGATCTAAAATGTGAGACATGCAATTAATTTTTGAGGAAAAAACTTGTTGATTAATAGATACACATTTTAGCTGATATATGGATAAAGTTTTTTTCTCTTATATATATATATATATATATATATATATTCATTTTCTTTATTTAGCAATCACAAATCTTTTGAAATCAATGCACGTACGCGTTTAACAACCAAGTCCTTGGATATACATATGTAAGAGGTGGAAGGTTGGAGTTGGACCCGGTCTATTAAATTAAGAAAAGGCTTCCCACCCGAAGTTTAGCGAATGTACATTTTCCCACCCACCGTGACAATGGAGTCTGTTACCTGATAGAGGTAAAGCTAAGAAAAGACTATACAATGTTTTAACAATGGGTGGGAAAATGTTTTTCCCAAAATTCACGGGTGGAAAAAAATGTTACATTCGCCAAACGTTGGATGGGAAAATGTGATTCAACCTTATGAAAAATCAAAAGCCATCTCACAATTACATGGTGAAGTTAATTGCACGTCTTAATCTGATTAGAGTGTTATATATAAGTTTATGAATTGTTGTGGTAGCTGAGCAATTCCAGTTGTTGATAATAGAGGCATTCATCCTGAATTTATGGATGTATTTATGCAGTGACCAATAATTAAGCTTCGATATCTTCATTGAGAAGGCAGACGAGGCGCAGGGATAGGAATAATTAATTGGTTGAGATCGAATACCAATATTATACAATTAAGTGCAGGTTGAAGTTAAGGCTTTTAACAACGTTAATGGTTGTGCAATGGGACTAATATTCCTCCCCTCTAATATACAAGTTTAATTTTCACTGGCTATTAAGAGAGTTGCCACAAGCTCTGATTGAGGTCAAAGAGCAAATATAATATGGCAATTTAAAATTATATCTCATACAAGTAGAAGATAGATTCTTCATCTGAATCCATTCAAGGGTTTGTGTTTGAACTTTGAAGAGAATCCATTCAAAGCTAACTAACTAGAGCTACCTAGCTGCCATTTTATAACTCTCCAAAATTCCATAGAATTGATACCTTCATATATCTTTCCAATATCGAATTTCTTATTATAATTTAGTCTTAGTTTCCTACACTTTAAACCTGCAGATAGATAAAGCTATCTAAATTATCTATATACAGCTATAACATATGTAAGAATGTTGGGAAAGAGTAAATATATGTGAGTCAAATTGTTTAAGATTTTCCAAAGTAATACTGGCTATGGATTAGATCATGCATTGCATGCCTTTCTCAGTTGTGTCGAATATTGGGAAAGAGTAATTAACATGGCCTGGGAGCTGGGAATAATGGGTTTATAGTTTGAGAGAGGGCAATAGACATATGCAAGTACAAGAAGCCCATATATACGTACCCAACCCAACCCAACCAAATTGATGGTAAGACCTATTAATGTTAATTATGAAATGAAGTTACGTAGCTAATGGAATATTGAAAGGTGAAGGGTCCCCCATATTCTCTACTTTAAGGGACAAGAAACAATTGCACATTATATGATATGAAGATAGCCGTAAAGTCCGTATTCACTTTTTGCACTTGCAATCTTCAATCATCTCCATCTATTCTCTGTTTCATTCATTCATCTTTACTCTCAAACATATGCTATTACTATTACTATTACTGTTACTATTACTATTACTATTCTCCCAACTTCATCATCCCAAATTTCTCATTCATTATATTATATACATCTCGTCACCCAATAAACTCATTTTTTCAGCCTTACTTCAATTGTCTGTGTTTTATTGACTGTCTATTTTGATAGACAATTCTATCTCCAATATTGATGCGTTTAATTCATTATTCATCCTTGCTCATGACAGTTTGCATGTGGAGACCACTTACAAACACTTGTTCTGACTAATCATATGCATGAACTGATTAAGAAGCTAGCTTGGATAAAACATAAACAGGGACCCGGGGGGGATGCACTTTAACTGTAAGTGTTGCGCGCGCATTTCCCTACTCCTGTTGGATGACTATAATACACGAAGTTGTCAGACTCAGACGTAACTAGATAAACTTAATTATCCCTTTGCTTTGCGTTAAAGCTATATATGTTATTGGTAATTTAAACTTTTAATTTTAATATTGTGTTAGCAATGGGGACCATTATATTCTTGTCAACCTTGGTATCTTGTAAATAGAGATACTTATCAGATTCTTCATTCACGTATAAATGCAAATTAAACAAAGTAAAATGCAGAAGATTTTGGACCACAAAAAATATATATATGTGCATAAATCTGTTCTGATGACCAAAAGATAGAGATGCATGTGCCATATTCAGAGAGAGGTCGATGAATTGATAACAAGTCAATCAAGGCCCTGCATGTATTATTGCCAAACATGAATGACAATGCTTCCATCAATGTTTGATTATGTTTCTGCTTGCAATATTGCATTTACATTTGCAATATGGAAGAGAGGATAGTTAAAGAGAAATAGGTTAATTTGTAATGGATGTATTAAAAAATAGAAAAGGGGGGAGGTGACATTGAAGAAAGTAAAGGCATTCACGTGTAGAAGTCGCGTGCCCCATGTGCTTGGATGCAGCCGGCCGAGTTCAACTTTAGAGATAAGAAATTTTAAAAATAAATTAATAAAAAGAGTGATGTTCCTCTTTGCTCATCTTCCGGATCTTGCCTCTCTCCTTCCTTCCTTTTCTATTCTATCCATCCCTATATATAACTCTAACTAACCCCTCTTCTCATTTTCGTCTCTAAACACTAGATATCAGTACAATACAAATATATTTTATTTCTTCGTTCATTTTTTGTGTACAATTTACAATGGCTTCCTGGAAGAAAACTATTACATCCCCGTTTAGAAAAGCTTGCACTTTCTTCAATCAGCAACCTGCAGCTACAAGGGATAAGAAGTCCCGCCCAGGTACTTGCTAATGTCACTGTTCATTGTCGATATATATAAACAATACCACTTATATATATTATCCATATGTAACTAATGTTGTTTAATTATTGTTATACTTTGCAGAGCATGACAACCGTGCTATGGATCTTCATGGTGAAGTTATGGCTTGTGCTTACGAGGATGTTCAAGTGATGTGGTCCATTCTTGACAAATCCAAGTCTGCAGACTGTAACGTTACCTCTTGATATATGGCTTCGCTTTTATGTACCAGAAGCTAGCCATTATGGCAATGTTTGAGGAAACATTATTCCATGGATCTAGCTATTTGGTATGTATGAGTATGACTTTGTAGATAAATATCATTTTGTGTGGGAAACTATGAATTAGGAGGTCCGAAGGCAGGTCTTTTTAGGTTGCCCCTTGAAGTTTAATCAATGGTGGTGGCATTTGAAGAAGAAGACTGTATGGTTATTTATGTGGTTCTATATATAGGGAAATTAATGGAATCCCCGTGATCAATCAAACACACGGCGAGATTTTTAATGAAAACCTTTACTTTATCTACATTTATTCTAATCTAATGCTTTATTTAGATTGAGAAAACTAACCATATGATATGAGAGAATTGGGATTTGGATATGATTCTGGTCCCCCTGCCATCCAATCCCGATGGGACGAATTCTGCTTCTTCTTTATGCTTAGTTGCTGATAGTGCAGAGTAGTTTATTAATTATTTTTAACGATGAAGAAGATACAGCTGATTCTTCTGGTAACCAATTCATAAGCAGTTGATGTTGATAAAGGCTGTTTTTGTCAAGTTTCGAGGCTGGTTTTGGTTTTGAGCACACAGAGTCAACTACAGATGAGATGACATTATCCTCGTAACCACAACACAATTTACCCAACCCAATCCTCATTCTTATCCATATCACAATTTTTCTTGAGATGGATGGATTCCCCAAATCTCCCCACCCAACTACTCTTGTAATTTTCTTACTTTATGACTAACATAATTAATTTTACGAAAACTAAGCATAAATGCTATATTAATATGATACTGAGCTCAATAATTAGGCTAGAAAATTACATAATTAAGTTGGGTAACAAGATGTAAACCATGTCTTGTTTTGCTGGATGACTGTTTAACACCATCTTCTCTACGAATTCTGAAGCACTTCAGGTATTTTAACATTCTCGAACCCGTAACAATCTATGAGAAAATTAGACGTTCATCAATAAAATATGACTTATGGAAGTCCAATTAAGGAAGTAATTCATGCCATCCCATACTCCCACATCAGAAAAAGACCTAGGATTTACTGTCAGCCTCTTGGTTGTGGATTTTATTCTGAGCTGGAATGGGCAAAAACTTCAAAGATTAGGCATAAGGTCCCCAAGTCTTCTGCCCTTGGATCACAGGTGTTCTGCCTCAACTCTTACCCAAGTACACTTTGTAAACCGTGAGGCAAATATCACCATTCATACAAAGATGGACTCTCAAAATGACAACAGTAAGAAAATTAACAACTGTAATAAATTTCTCAACTTATTTAAGGAATTCAAGTCAATCTTTCTCATCAATATACCAACAGGGTTGAACTCATAAAGTGTATGTATACATACTCTCCATCAAGTGGTAGGCACTGCAAACACTCTTTCTTCAGACTACAGAAATTACAACGTAAAAAGAAAATACAAGATGGCAAGTTGAATTTCCCAAATAAGACCCTAGGATTAACGGTTTCAAACATTCTGCCCAAGAAAAAGCATAGGAGTCCCAGAATATGATCTCTGACAACAAACATCTTGTAGAGCTAGCTCCCAATCAATTAGTTTTCTTCACAACTTTTTTTTTTTTTTTTTCTTTTTGTAATTTTAATGTCTCAGCTCAGCGGGTATTTCTTTCCTCTTTGGCTTCAAGGGCATCCACTTCCTCATTTGATAAAATATCAACGATTGGCTCATATACGTCCCACTCCTTTCTTTTCCTGATGCATTGTAGTACAGAGAATGGAATCAAACCAACCATTAGTATCTCATTCATGAAATTTCCCTATAATTACATAGACATGGCAATAGAAATTGTATAAAATCTTCTTTTTTGTATCAATAGTTGCAACTAGATAGTCTAACATTGGATGGCTCAAAAAGGAGAAATGAGCACTTGAAAACAAGAATACAAACTGTAGAAAAAGGACAAGTACACATTAGGAGGAAAGTATGAAGGACTATATATACCACAAAACTATACAAAATGGTAATTTCAAGATTAAGAAATGGCGTTTCTCATTCATGGATTCTTTGATGGGAAAAGACAGGATGGCTACATAATTTTCATCGGATCATAAACTGAGATGATAAAAAGAAAAATAAAAAAAAATAAAAAAAGGCTCCTACAGCTTAGGCAATTATGCTCTTGCTCATTCTTATAAAAGCTTTTAGAATGTTGGCAACAGGAGCTTTCAAAAGTCCCTAGAGCATCACTCATTTGGGGACTGAGGTGACGCAATAGAGGTAATGTTAAATTTAAAGTTTATGAAACATGCAATTCTTTTGTCTATGATGTGTTCCTCTAACATACTTCGGGTGAATAAAACATTTCCTTCTGGAACTTCTAAAACATAAAACATAATGCAAAAAACCTTCTGTGGTGCAGCCTGAGAAAATATTTAGTGATCAAGAAGTTCGGTGGTTTGCTTGGATTAGAGAAATTGGCATTATGGCAGCCAGATACTGGTATAGCCATGATTCCAGAGGAAATCTATTAGATAGTTTTACTTTGAAGAAGAGACTATACTAGATAAATCTTTCAGATGTCAGCAAACAAGTACAAAAGGAACATTCATACCTAACTACGCTTGAATTGTATCTGAATAACTTCATCAAGTCCAATGCATTTCCACCTGCTTTACTGTTAAAGAGAGTATAACTAGGTTAGTGACATACACAATAATACGAGGTCAGATATTGCTCCAACTGAATTCATATCTTCTTATATTGAACTTGGCAAACCAAGTAAACAAAATCAGTGGAAACAAACCTGGCTGGCACGTGTTCAACTCCCCTACGACCTTTCTTGCTTATTTTAATTTCTCTAGCGGAAGCTACACTCTGAATTGCAATCTGGAACATGAAATAAGATAAAAATATTGTAAGAAACCAAAAAATAAATAAGTATATTCCATATATCTGCAGAAATGTTAAAATCATGATGAAGTAAAAGCAACGCAGAAAATCACAACCTCATATAGCTGTTCCCTGATTGCAAAGGCGACTGCAGGCTTAAAAAAAGAAAAAAAATAAAAATAAAGATTACCTTAGATATCAACAAGTTCATAACAACTAAAAAAAAGAGCAAGAAAAAAAGGGAAGAATATTTTGTTTCATTGCATGCAGGAAAATTCATAGTTATTTGACCTAAGCAACTTAATTGTAAAATTTAAGAGTCGACTGAATTAAAGTAGTTACCCCAACTTCAGGGTCTTGAATAGCCAAATCTTTGCAGAAGGTTCTAGCAAAATCTTCAGGGTCACTCTCATAATTGTTCAAGTCCTGAAAGCTCACAGATGATAGTACAAAGTATAAGACAATCATAAAAAGCAACCGGCAACAGCAAAGGTGCAGACTTACCCACAAAAACTGATCCTTGATGAGAGTATGATTGACTCGAAGATCAAGCTGAGAAGGGGAGAAGGAAGCATCATTACATAGATTAAATGACACACGATTAAGTTAGTAATAGGGAAAGAATAAAGAAGAAAATAATAAAATAAAATAAAAACCTTGATGGGAACAATTTTCTCAGCAGTGTACATGTCTTGGCCTTCATATGATCTAAATTCAGTAAGCTGGGACTGATAAATGAACCCAAAGAAACTAAATCAATAAAAAAAAAAACATTTTTTCCAGAAAAATAAAAAAGAAATATATATGGAGAAGTAGAAGTGAATTAATAAAATTAACCTGAATGGATTGAGCAATCTGAGTAATGAATTGTGGAGGAAGTTTCAAGTCTTTAACAGTTCTCTTGGCGAACACCACCACTTCAGAATCGGGATCTTTTTTTTTTTTAATTTGAATAAAAATAAGCACCAGAAATGAATGGTAAATAAAATTGAAAATAAGAATGGGAGGAGAAGAGTACCAGAAGGGTTCCAAGTAAAAGCATCTTTATAACGCTGGCCTTCGGTTTCTATGTCCAATCGAATTGGGACCAAGTTGTCAGCTGTTGGCCTATTTTATTATGCATAAAAGAATAAGTGGAATGTAGAGTAATAATGAAACTTAAAAAAAAAATAAGAAAGAAAGAAAGAACTCACATTCTGAACTTGACGGGGGCTTTGGAAGACGACGTTGCCGGAAGTTTCATTCTGTCCCAAATTTCTAGCTCTGAAAGACGACACTAAAACCTCTTTTGTTTTAAATGAACTGTAAAAACCCAAGTGCAAGGCCAAGGCCAAGACCAAGACCAAGCCCAAGCCCAACCCAATATTAAACACTGAAAGTTGAGGGTCTGTGCCGGCCTCAACTAATAAAATATTTGAATAGATGAATGATTGGGAATTGCGAATAAATCTCTCGTTTTCCAGCTGAGATGATATATATATATATACAAATTTTGTGTTTCTCAAAATCATTGTCGTGCTTTGAATGCATTGCATTTGGCCTTTATCAATGTATTATTAGTAATATAAGGAAGGACCTTGTAGTTTGGAAGTGATCGTGGCCTGCAGTCGGCTAGACTGAAGCGTCGCTCAATTCCCAATTGCATGCCAACAGGTTAAGTAATCCTAGCCTGTTTTTGTGACACGATGATGAATACATTTGTTGCTTCTGCAATTAATTACTAATATTTCAACACATTACATCACCAATATTAATCAACAGCTAATATATTAATTTCATTAATGGTTGCTGTATATAACAAATAAAACACTACTGTACAATGTTTAATATAATCAACTCAAATACATGAGGGGTTCCACTAAACCACCAAGAATAGAATTGAAGGTGTTCAAGTAAGTAATGAATTCATTTTGTATAACCTAGCTAGCATCTGTCTGCTCTCGTTATCTTTAGTCTTTTCAAAGTGGTCAGGAACAACCTACATCCAAAATCCAATTGTTAGGATTTAGAAACATTAACACAATTAATATTATATTATATCTAACAAATGCTTACTTACTCCCAAGGAACATCTCCAACCATCATCCAGTCTCCTTCTTTGTCTTCGTAAGTTAAAACATGGTGTTTCTCCCTATTCCAATGAACATCATCACTATCTGGCACTGTTTTAATTATATTAATTAAATCTCATCAGTTACTGTTCATATATATCTCACTTTAACTTAATTAATATCATAATTTAAATAATACATACACACAATGCTGGTCTTAAACATATGCGCAAGAGTTGATATTAATGCCTTGTAACCCTGATGTGCATAAACATCCAATTTTCTACCAATTGGTATTCCTTCCATGTAAACCTTCACAAACAAAGATGCACTATTCTCATGGCGCTGCTGCTGCTGTTGCACGTAATTATCTGCAAGTCTACTCCTTAACAGTGGCTTGATTGGCGGCCAGTCAAACCCATCACCACTAATTTTTCATTGCATATAAATAAAAAGATCGTTGGATGTCAGATACAATAATGTATATGCTTGCATATGGTATGGGATGATCTGTGTTATTAAGAACTATATGTGTTAATTGGCATCTGGTTCTGTTGATTAATAAAAAGAAAACGTGTATATATGGAGAAGAATATTAGTTACCTTTGCGTTGAAGTTGAACAATCGTCATTATTGTGGATGCTGAGACCTAACCTTAGATCAGTGCTCAAATCTCTTTTAATATTACTTGAAACAACAGAAGAGGAAGAAGAGGGGAAAGGAGGGTGGTTGCTGCTATCTATTGACGATGAACATGAATGATCAGCTACCTCCATGATTATCTCTTCCCATTTGAAAATAATTGATAATTAAATAAAAGTGTTTAAGATCGATGGAGGTAGAAAGAGCTTCAAAAAGAGAATGAGAATGAGAATGAGAATCGATTACCACCTAAGAGGGTTAGGTCATTTATATGAATATATAGAAATAGGTATGGAGAGAGATATAGACATATACACTACTACTACTACGTGCAGGGTGAGAAGAAGTGGATCTGGGCAATCTAACAACCAAGCAATTTCAACAGAAGACCCCCCTTGGGTTTCATTTGTCTTCAGGGTGGCCGACATCTCCACGCGCCTTTTGTGACGTGGCTTTTTCTCTGTTTCTTTCTTTAGATTACATTAATTAACCGGCTCTTTTTTTTTCTTTATCACCATAAACATGGCCAAACCCCACATCCCACGTTTAGCCGTTTTCTTCCTTTTTAATCTTATCCTTATTTATTTGGAATTTATCATTTTTAATACAACTAAAGCTGAATATATATAGTTAGGTTTGACATCACTCAACGTAAGTAATTCCAGTGCTGTGGTAGAGTAATTGAAGTGCCAGCTCAAAGTGACCATTTTAAGCTCATAGAGAAGGTTGGTTGAGGTCCTCTTCAATCAAACATACTTGGAATTTAACATCATCCAGATCTTTCATACTCAATTGTTTCGATATGGTAACCTCATAACAACTTTCTTATAAATAACCCAACAATTTCAAACCAACTATTCCATCCACTTTTATTTATTTGCACCACCACTCTTATTCTTCTTTCTTTAACAAGGCAAACTTATCTTACCTTCTTCATCTTGATTTCTGCCCCCAACCGGAAATCATTCATTCTTAATTAACTTCATTCATTCCTCCCTTCTAAAGATAAATCTAGATTTATGACGNAATATTACTTGAAACAACAGAAGAGGAAGAAGAGGGGAAAGGAGGGTGGTTGCTGCTATCTATTGACGATGAACATGAATGATCAGCTACCTCCATGATTATCTCTTCCCATTTGAAAATAATTGATAATTAAATAAAAGTGTTTAAGATCGATGGAGGTAGAAAGAGCTTCAAAAAGAGAATGAGAATGAGAATGAGAATCGATTACCACCTAAGAGGGTTAGGTCATTTATATGAATATATAGAAATAGGTATGGAGAGAGATATAGACATATACACTACTACTACTACGTGCAGGGTGAGAAGAAGTGGATCTGGGCAATCTAACAACCAAGCAATTTCAACAGAAGACCCCCCTTGGGTTTCATTTGTCTTCAGGGTGGCCGACATCTCCACGCGCCTTTTGTGACGTGGCTTTTTCTCTGTTTCTTTCTTTAGATTACATTAATTAACCGGCTCTTTTTTTTTCTTTATCACCATAAACATGGCCAAACCCCACATCCCACGTTTAGCCGTTTTCTTCCTTTTTAATCTTATCCTTATTTATTTGGAATTTATCATTTTTAATACAACTAAAGCTGAATATATATAGTTAGGTTTGACATCACTCAACGTAAGTAATTCCAGTGCTGTGGTAGAGTAATTGAAGTGCCAGCTCAAAGTGACCATTTTAAGCTCATAGAGAAGGTTGGTTGAGGTCCTCTTCAATCAAACATACTTGGAATTTAACATCATCCAGATCTTTCATACTCAATTGTTTCGATATGGTAACCTCATAACAACTTTCTTATAAATAACCCAACAATTTCAAACCACTTTTTATTTATTTGGTACACTCTTATTCTTCTTTCTTTAACAAGGCAAACTTATCTTACCTTCTTCATCTTGATTTCTGCCCCCAACCGCAAATCATTCATTCTTAATTAAATTCATTCATTCCTCCCTTCTAAAGATAAATCTAGATTTATGTTATCTTTCCTTCCTGCAGCACTTTCAAATTCTTCTACAATTACTGACGGGTAAAAATGAAAGATTGCTTAATCACAAACAAAAAGCATTCAGTTTATTTATAAAGTCTCCTACCCTATCTTGCTTTTGACATAAATGATGAAAGTTACAATGAGGGCGCCCAAAGACCAGTCTGATCGATTAATAACTTTCACGTAACATTGAAGCTTCAAACTTCTTTAAATCCAATGGCAAAGACGATTAAATGTATACTAAACAAATTATATGTATTGAAAGTCTGAAGGGGATCGATCGATTGTCCATTCACTTTTCTTTTTTTTCTTAATATCGATAAATATTAATAGCAATAGGTAAAAAAAAAAAAAAAAAGTAAAAGAAGAGTAAAGGAAAAATTGCATGGTGTAGGAGGTATCTAGAGATAAGGAAAGTGAGAGAGTGGAGACAAAAGAGCAAAGCTTAAAGTTGTATAATCACCTCTTTGGAGAGCAAAGACAAGCTGCCCTATATATTCTTTTGCTTCTTTTCTACGTAGGTATTAATATATTTCTTCTGCAAATTAATTAATCCATTTATATGATTCAATGCATAAATATATAGTAGCCAGCTTGCGCCTTCTCTTAATATGGGCCATTAAATTAAATGCATGCGGTGTATAATGTGAGTGAAGAGACTGCTTTACCGCCACCTCTCAGACAGAAAAACAAAGAAAGTAGACCTCCATCATATTTAGTCTATCTGCAAATTGACACTGTCATTATTTATCTCACGTGAGACTTCGATTCAACCTTCTCTTTTTAATCACACATCTATACTATACATCATATGAAATATTGCACATTGAATCTGAATCTTTATACTTTTTTTTTCCGTCTGCTTTACTTTATCTTTTTTGTTTTTTGTTTTTTTTTTTTTTAAAAAAAAGAAGATTACATTCGTGATAAAAAGCCTCTATTTCACCAGCCTCACGAATAATCATGATCATTTTGAACATCTAACTGATTATCAATACTCAATCCATTGTAATAATATACATTTGAAAGAAGAAAAGAATGTGAAATTTGCAGAAAGAAAGATGATTGACGGTCGGTGTCTGATAATTATTAAGAAAAAATAGTTGATGATTAATATTAACCACGGTAACTAATTAGGGATTGATTATTGTAGTTGTCTGTGTATATATATATATAGTCTATAGAAAAAGAAATTAATGAGAAGAGGGGACAGGATGTTTCAAAGTTGCAAGAGTTAGAAAAAAAAAAGTGAATTAAAGGGTTCGTGTCGTGTTGTGTTAAGTGTTTAATGGATGGGATTAATTAGAAGGGTAATGTTTTATGCCTATAATCCGAGAGGTCCCATTCATAAAAGAGAAGACATGAGACCAACTTTCAGAAACATGCAATCAACTAAATTGCCCACATAAATAAAAGATTCGCACGTGCAAAAGGAGCGTGTTTCACTGAAAATTCGACAATCTGTGATAATTAAGGATTATGATTAATTAAATGTAAATAGAGAAAGAATTAGATGGAAGAAATGTTGAAGCTTGGTGGAGAAGAAAGCTGGTTTTGGGGTTGTAACAAACAAGGGTAAAAGAAAAGGTTGTTCCCCCTATGTTGCTTCACTGGGGTATCTTTCAATGCCCCTTTTTGCATTCACTTTGTGTACAACTGAAGCATTTGAATATTTATAATATATATATATAGAAATGCACAACTAGAAGACATTGAAAGAGAATTAGAGGTGGGCATGTCAAGAGAAAGGGGAGCCCCCAATTAGCGACTTTTCTTAAGAGTGGCTATGAAATGGGATTAAGCTTGCCAACATCTAATAACATTGCCCCCATTCTTACCTACATTTATTAATCCTCATTCATCAACCCAATAAAGCTTTGTTTACTCACTTTATTCTCTTCCCATCCCTCCATCGACCTGTCTACTCACTGTAATGTTGGACCTCTCTTATCTTTCTTTTCTTATTTAATCATGTCTACAAACTCCTGTTAACGTACAGCAATTTGATAATAAAGGCATTACATCAGATCATATATAAGCTGCAAATATGTCCTTTATAATAGTACTGGGCCATTATCTTAATTAATTCTTAATTTGTCTGCAGGCCCTTTCATTTTCTCCTTGCATATGCATAAGGAGAGTAGGAGACTTTTCAGGTAATTAAAACTAGCACCCACCAAAACCAAATATACTGGATTCAGGTTAACTCTAGTAAATAAAAAGTTGACAAATCCAGTAGAATACTGAAACATACTGGACTCTCCACAATTGCAAGAGATCCCTGCTGCCATATACACATGGAACAAAAATACAGTCTCACTTTAGTTACTCAAATTATTATTAACAATTAAGATATAGTTATAGAGTATACAGAATTAATTTGAAAACTACTCCGGCTCCGCTAGCTCTACAATTGTATGTACAGAGCTAAAAAGCCACCCAGCTACTAAATAACTTTTTGTGGGTGGGTGACATAAAATTCAAGCCTTGACATTGACAACCTCGATTTCTTGATTAATGAATCTACTCTTGTACATTCCAAACACACAGAAGCACTTTCATTTTTATTACAAGTAATTTATATATAAACACTAAGGAAAATAATATAGTCACCAACGCTACCGAATTTATGCATTGAATAACGTAACAAAATCCTGATCATTGATTAATTTTAATTTAATATTAATCAATGGTCAGAATTTTATCACGTCATTCGGTACATAAATTCGGTGCACTACTTCGGTGACTGTAACATTACTCAAAAACTAATAACCATATATATGTTAGAGCAACAAATCCACCCTGCTACCAAATAATTTGAGGCTGATTCAAAATTAGAGCCCCCACAACCTCAACCTCTTCATTGATGTATCCACTTATTTTCATACCATAACAGCTGGGAAAACCAATAAGTTACAAATTAATTGACATATATATATATATATATATAAATAAATAATAATAATAAACATTTGAAAATGAATTAACACAAATCAATATTCAGTACATTGTCTTTCAATTGAACATGCACACACTCACTCACCAGAACTAGGCAGTATCAACCAAGACAAAGTATTACATGTAGCTAATGTGAAAAGGAACCCCAGAAAAAAAAAAAAAAAAAAAAAAAAAAAAAAAAAAAAAAAAAAAAAAAAAAAAAAAAAACTCTCTTCCAAATCCTCACATAAAACAAGGTGTATGGTCATTAAGTTCTATGTACACCTGCTCATAAACCAAAATTAAGGTAAGCCATTCAAGAAAAATTAAACAAATATACCATACCTAACCACAACCACAGAAACAGCATAAAAAATTATCACTTTAAACTATCTCTTTTCTCCTCAAATTTAATTAATGCACTTTTTCACCTCCTTTTGCTTCAGGCTGCATGGTTTTGGAGCTTGGAGATTTCCCAATTAAAGCTTTTTTCACCTTAACCATTGATTGTTTGACCTTGGACATTATGTTCCCTGATGACTTCTGTGTAGCTTTAACTGTTTTTGTGTCATCACCTTCTTTGGTTAGTTCCTTGGCAGGGGGATCAGACTTCTTCTCACCAACACCTTCTTCTCTATCAGCTTTCTTTGTCTCCTCTTTGTCATTGTTTGTCTCTTTTTCCTTTATCACCTCCACATGCCTAGAAACCTGCTCTCCCTTTTCTGCTGCTTCAGCAACACTATTGGATCCATTCATATCTCCATCTTTGATTCTTTCACTTTCAACTGGTTCTTCAATTTTCCCATTCTTCTCTTCAGTTTTGACATTCTTGTCTTCCTTAATTTCTGCAACCTCCTTTAACAGACCTTCAGCAACATCATTTGAGCTTGTATTCACATTTTTGTCAACTGCTTCAGTCAATGAAAGGGGCTCTACATTATCAATTTCTGATTTTTCCTCTAGCTTTTGTTGGACAGTTTCGACTGCTGATTTATCCAGAATTTCAGTTTCAACTTTTTCAACAGTTGGTTTCTCCTCTTGTACATCTTTAACTGTTGGTTTCTCCTCTTGTACATCTTCAACTGCTGGTTTCTCCTCTTCTACATTTTCAACTGCTGGTTTCTCCTCTTGTACATTTTCAATTGCTGGCTTTTCCTCTTTTACATCTTCAACTGTTGTTTTCTTCTCTTGTACATCTTCAACCATTGGTTTCTCCTCTTGTACATCTTCAACCAGTGGTTTCTCGTCTTCTGCCTCTTCAACTGCTGGCTTCTCCTCTTGTACATCTTCAACTGCTGGTTTCTCCTCCTGCACACCTTCAACTGCTGGTTTCTCCTTTGGTAAATTTTCAGCTGCTGGTTTCTCCTCTTGTACATCTTCAACTGCTGGTTTCTCCTCTTGTACATCTTCAACTGCTTGTTTCTCCTCTTGTACATCTGCAACTGCTGGTTTCTCCTCCTGCACATCTTCAACTGCTGGTTTCTCCTCTTGCACATCTTCGGTTGCTGGTTTCTTTTCTTGAACGTCTTCGATTGCTGGCTTCTTATCCTCCTCTACATCTTCAACCGCTGGCTTCAGCTCTTGTAAATCTTCAACTGTTGGTTTCTGCTCTTGTATGTATTCAACTGCTGGCTTTTCCTCTTGCACCTCTTGGACTACTGGTTTCTCCTCTTGTACATCTTCAAGTGCTGGGCTCTGTTCTTCGAGTACATTTTCAAAGGATTGCTTCTCCTCATTTACCTTTTCAACTACTGGTTTTTCTTCTTGTACATTTTGCACTGCTGGTTTATTTTCTTGCACATTTTCATGGGCATTTTTCTCATCTTGTGCAGTTTCAACTACTTCAATTGCTACTGGTTTCTCCTCCTCTGCCTTTTCAAATTCCTCAGTTGCAACTGATTTCTCCTCTTGTGCAGTTTCAACTACTTCAATTGCTACTGGTTTCTCCTCCTCTGCTTTTTCAACTTCTTCAGTTGCAACTGGTTTCTCCTCTTGTGCAGTTTCAACTACTGCAATTGCTACTGGTTTCTGCTCCTCTGCTTTTTCAACTTCTTCAACTGCAACTGGTTTCTCCTCTTGCACATTTTCAGCTGCTAGTTTCTCCTCTTGCATATTTTCAGCTACTGGTTTCTCCTCTGACAAAATGTCAACTGCTTTAACTACTGATTTCTCCTCCGCTACTTCTTTTATAGCTTCAGCTGCTGGTTTCTCCTCCGCTATTTCTTTAAATGATTCCATGGCCACTTTCTCCTCCGATAAATTTTCACTTATTGGTTTTGCCTCGCTTTCTGCTTCAACAATCTGACCTACAGAATCTATAGTGGAAGAAACCGAAATATCTGCATCTTTTTTGTCAGCTTCTGGAGGAATATCTGAAGCAGATATGTTGTCAACTTTTTCGACCTCGGCAATTACAGAAAGTTCATTTTTCTTATCATGTAGTGTGTCTTCTGTTTTAGTGACAGGATTTTTGGTACCAGAAGAGTTCTCTTCTTCAGGTTTTTCAGTTTCATCCTTCTTTCCATCATCCTTGGGTAGAAGAATATTTTCCTCTTTGGTTGCTTGAATTTCTTCGTTAACCTTCTTCTCCACTGGCTGCAACAAATCAAAATGATATCATTAGAAACTTAAGGGTTAAGATTACCGTTGAATTTGAAGCAAAATCATGTTTATTGATTTAAAAATAGAATTTGCATTGATCAAAGATAGTCAATATAAATTCCCCTATTTCTCTTTTGGGTTGGGAGTGATCTCCAGATAATTGCTTAATATGAGAAGAATCAAACACTTCTATCCACATTTCTAAATGTTAGATCTCTGGAACTATTGTTTACCGTGAGTTTGAACATTAGAATTCTCGTGCTGTGCATGCAATAGTACTAAGAACGGAACACAAGAAACAGAGATGTTTTTGAGGGTGCCAGGCAAGGCAAAGGAACTCAAAAACTTGTGTACAATAGTTGTTATTTCTTAATATATGGAAGATGAACTACATAAATCATTACACAACATAGTTTTTTTTCTTAAAAAAAAAAAAAAAAAAAAAAAAACCCTAAGCTTATGAATCTGTAATTGGTGAGGAAGGACCCTGTTGCATCTTCGGAGCAGAGTTAATCTCCTAAGAGCAGGGGAAGTTAATTCTGTTCTGTGGGGCAAGAAGTCCAGTAAGTCTGAGTATGATAATATGATCTCTATATATTATGGCACTGAAAGTTATTGGACATTGCAGATATATAAGCAGGTGGATGATGGTTGATTTCCATCGCAAGTAAAAGTAAGGAAGAAATGAAATTATAGTCTAGATGCAATACTGCTGTACAGAGTGTAATAATACGACCAGAAAAATAAGGTACCTGAAACTGAATAACTTTCCAGAGATAAGAAGATAGTTCTTACTTGTCCCAAGGAACTACAAATGTGAGGATGATAGCCGGATAAATCATTAAGAGTTTTAGACCACAATGTCTTGTGGATTCAAATTTTTTTTTTTTTTTTTTTTTAAGAAAGACACTTAATAGACACGGCATGCAATCTATAAACGATGAACATCAAAGGTAAGTTGAAGAGGGACAGGACATAGTAAGTGTTTAGAATATTACGATATAAAGAAGGAAAGATATCAAGTTTGTTTTGTTTTGTTTTGTTTATGTCAAAGGAAGTAGATGAAGGACAAGATCCTGTAAGAGTGAAAGAATATAGAAGAAGTGAAGTGTAAGAAATAAAAAGTACCTGGTGATGATCTGATTCAGATTCAGATTCTGGTACTGCTACTGCTACAACAGTAACAGTCTGAGCATCAAGTGCAGTAGTGGCCATGGATGAGCAGTAGGAGGAAGGAAAGAATTGAATGAATGAAAAGTAGTAAACTAGGAGTGATAGCGTTTGAGTTGAAGAAACCAGAGAGACAGGGAGAGAGAGAGAAGAAAAGGAAATGATGAATCGGTGCTGATAAAGAAAAAGGAAAGAGCAGAAACAGTGAATAAGCAATACGAGTATGAGGGTAGCCCCACCATTTTTAGGAAAAAGTTGTTAGATGAGCTGGTTCTGCTAATATTTAATATTGGATTAATATTTTTTTATTATTTTGACAACTCTGATTAACACATACAAACAGTGTCATGACATGTATATTATAATTTCAGGTACTTTAGATCAGAAAACTCCATCAAACCCAGAACATTCTTGATAATGGAACAGTGTGTAGGTATTGATTGGGTTGACAGCGAATAAACAGATAGACAAGTAAAACGACGATGAGTAGCAACTATATATACAACCTGTTTTATGTATATTCCTTTGAAATAGGATTTGATAATGCTTTTATTGGGTATGTGGTGTCTTCTAATTTTATAAATAGTGGACTTTTACCGAACAAAACAAACTATGATTTGGGTTGGCTGGATTACTCTATATATATGAGAAAGAAAGCAGGCAAAGTTGGAAGGAAGTCCATGTCAGTCTTTCCGTTTAACCCACACTCTGACCCACGTCCAGGTCCAGGAACATGTGAACTGACTCAATCTTTGTACAATTAACAATTAATAGAGAGCCTTATTTTTAGGCACCGAGTAATTTAGCATCCAACAGGACCAACACCGCCAATGCAACTGGTAATTAATAGTTGAAATAATTGATAGATAAGAGTGTTATGTGAGGTCAAATCCAAGCCAGTTCAGAATGTCTATATTGGTTTAGACCTTTTCACCCGAGATAAAGATTGTTCGACCAACTCTTTTCAATAATTTTTTTTTTTTTTCTTTTTTACAAATGCGACCTAATATCCTGTAATTAGTCGGATGGGGCTGTTGGACAGACAGGCCCCCCCAACTATTACTGAGAAAAAACTTAGGAAAAAAAGTTAATCACATATGAAATGACATTTGCTACAATGAAATGACATCTTTTGTTGTCTTTTTTTTTTTTTTTTTTAAGGGGTGGGGTCTAATCAAAGTATGATTGCGGTGTGGGCTTGAAAGATAACACGTACTTTTGCTTTGATTGATTGATTGCAGTTTGCAACCCAAATATCAAGGGTTGCTATCACTAGGAATTGGAATTATATTATTGGTTAATTAAGTTAGTAAATTCGTTTATTATTCAGAAATTATACGACCAATTGTATAATTAGCATATTATTTGTGAATAGTCACATTTGATCACTTCATTCACGAATTATATATTTTATTCACGAATTATATATTTTAGTCATATTATTCATGAATTATTTTCATATTTTTTTTTTATCTGAATTTTTATCAAATTTTTATAAACGTATTTTTTACCATTTACAGTATCATATTCATAAAATTTTCATACCCTTTTTTGGTTGTATCCGTATTTACTAATTAAGATGAATTTCTATTATAAATTATAATTTGAATCTTGATTGTATTATTTATTTATTTTATTTGTTTAGTACTTTAGTTCGATTTTGAATTTTGGTTTTGTTATATGTTCGAATTGAGACTATAATTGAATCTTGACTATATATTGTGTTTGAGTCTAGAGAGTTTAATTTGAATCTCAGTAATATATTGTATTATATTATTAGGTATAATGATTATCGGTTAATTGAATACTTTATATTTTAATGTTATATTGATCAACCAGGATTGATATTGTTGTATTTTCAAAACATATTATTGATAATGTGTCGTATTAAACCATATATACGCATACCATATTTTTTTCGTATTCAAATTTTATAACTGAATTTTTACAAACATATTTTTCTCTATTTATCGTATCATACCTATAAAATTTCCGTACTATCTATTTGCCGTACTCGTACTAACTAAGGTTAATTCCTCTGAAATATATACGTTCGTAGTTGGATAATAAATGGGATTATTAAATAATGGTTTGAATTTTGTGTATATATAATGTTAGGGTTAGGGTATAGGGATGTTTAGTTGAGGCTCTCCATGCATCAACGTGTTCATTCATCAACCAAACCTTCACACTGCCAAATCCATCCCTGCCACATTGACTCTACCATTCGACAAGAATACTAATACAGAGATATATGCAATGTCGTCTACCTCAAGACCCGGAAAAGGTAAAACAAACAAATCCTCCTCCTTCTCCACCTCCATGGTTGAAGTAGAAGTAGTTGAAGCTATGTCTTCTACATTCGTAAACAATAAGAGGAGCAAAGTAGGTTGGTGTTTATATAAATGTAGACGTACGTGTTTCAATGTATATGACTATATGTAATGCTTTGATAATTTGTTTGCAGGAGAGAGTGATGAAGATTTACCCACGGTTCCAGACGTGGAAAACCCAACCATCATAGCTAACAACAATTCCCAGATTAATAGTCAAAACCAGAAGCGGCGCAGGGGACGTAACCCTGTTGACAAGGAGTATAGAAGGCTGAAGAGGTACTGTACTCTTATCTTTAATTTCCAAATTGGGGTTTGAATTAATATAACTACGTGCAGGTTGCTAAGGAACAGGGTTTCTGCTCAACAAGCCCGAGAAAGGAAGAAAGTTTACGTCAACGACCTGGAATTCAGAGCCAAAGAACTAGAGGAAACTAACTCCGAATTGGAGGAGAAGATATCAACTTTGATCAACGAGAACACCATGCTTCGGAAGGTCAGCTACAGCTACTACTTTTAATTAATTTGTTATTTAAAGTTAGAATTTGATCTCTACTTTTATTTCACCTTCACCCAATTCCAATTATTCTCTACCAGGTTCTTTTGAATACAAGACCTAAAGTTGATGAAAGTATTGAGCAAAAGCAGGATCGTTTTTCGAGCAAGAACACAATGTAAACTTGCCTATATATAATTAATGTATCCATTCACTTAATTTTCAGCTTCATAATATAATTTGACTTCTGCCATTAATTTCCTTTGCTTGATATACATATTTACTATTGTGGTGAGATTTTGGTACTAGAAATGTATGTGGCATACGAATATAACAAAATTGATGAAATTTTTGGTTTAAGTAATCTAGATATCATTAATTCCAAGTCTGGTTGGCAGTCGAAAATCATCAAAACGCGTTATTATCTGTATCTCAACTAAAAAGTTTTTGCTTCCTTCACAATTAAACCACACCAAATACACTGTTCATGCTTGGCTAAAATGGCAAAAACACATCAATCCAATGCTTAATCATGTAACACAGACTCACAGTATGTAGCAATATAATTAAAAATTGGAATTTCACCATGATCAACTTTAACTCCATCTTCCTCTAAATACAAGGTTGTGACAGGTATTATCACAAGGGTAGGCACAATCAATAGCCTTAATGTTAGATCGATTAAAGTACCAGCTCCCAACATACTCCGCGATTCTCTGCAGCTTCATCATCAATCCATGAGTTATTTATATATTACTAAAATCCTAGACAAAATTCTTAAAAGAAATGACAAACATTGAGTTACTGCAGATTTGTGCCATGGGAAAAAGGCAAAAATCATCCTCCATTTGATGGTTTCTTACATCATCAGGTTTGGTCCCAGAATAATGAAGGAAAACAAGCAATGAGAATCTAATACCCTTTCAATAGTGCACAAATGATGCAGGACTAGAACCTACTAGACTGATAACTTGTTCTTAAGAAAATGAAGCACAGCCTCACTGTAATACTTCTTTTCCTCTTCTCTAAAGTAAGATAAACATTATAAAAAAAGATACTATATTCACTAAATTCTCTCTCTAAGTATGAACTATTTCACTTGCATAGCAAATAGTTGGTTGGATTGATAAGATCTTAAGGACTGTGACGAGCAAATTATAATTATTTCTCAACGGAACCTCCATTCTGATAATTTTATCTATTGATGATTGTTAAGTTAAAGAAATAGTCAGACTGTACATGCCTTGTTTCTAATTCGGGGAGAATTTGGAGCAAACCATGTGTCCTGCCTCTCAGTTTGGCAATGAGCAAAACATGAATTTATAAAGATCCCATTCTTCTTGTGCTTCAATAATCCTTCCACAGCATTCAGCATTTGGTTTCGGAAACCTGCTTCAGGTTAGGATTAGAGTTAGAGCTCTTATTGATACAATAATCTTACGGATAACTAATCCTGTGAACCCGCAATTGAAAAAAAACATAAATAATTATAACACAGATTAAAACATCTGATCAAATCACCTTGCAGAAAACCAATTTGGGATGCTGTGCAACGAGCATAGTTGTTTCTGCATTCATGCCAATTGCCATGAGGATCAACCGATGGTGGAGCTAAGCTGACCTGAATCTGATTAATGGGAAAGGAAAAAAAACTCAGATAGATTAATCTGGGTGCTCAGGTCTCACCATTTTTAAGGCAGCCTATAGGCATCAAGAGCCATGAAATTTCATGCTTCAGAATCACCCACCATCCATGCGCCAATTGTGAGGAACCAGGTAGCAGTTAATCTTAGCACAAGATAATAAACTTTTTTGAACCATCTTAAGACTATGTTTTAACGAATTTGAGAATCTGAAGAAAATTGTTTATGTCTAAATTTGGAACTACCGAGTACAGCAAGAAACAAAGAATCTTCAGGAACTTTTGCAAATGGATGACTTTTGGGAATAACATAAAGGAAATGTTTTTCATTTTGTTGCATCGTACAGATGTAGGTCTTACCTGCCATGTATCATAAGCTGCATTTAGAAGAAAAAGTGGAGTCTTAACACTGGCAATCAAGTGCTGAGGAAAAATACACTGTAAATCAGAGGAAATTATAGATTAGTAGTAAAAATAAGATTTCAGTCGTTTCATCAAAACTATGCAACTGTCTTACAATTAATACAAGGATTACCAAAATTGGATTGAGACGCTTTGTGCAGCTCTGTGGCAAGTTCTTCACTCGCTGAAATATAAAGATGCAGATGTTATTTAACACAATTAACAGAAGAATGAAATTTATGGGCATATAGCTTTGCCAAAACATGAATGTTAACTAGAGCTAACTTAATCTAGGCTCCATAACACATGCAACTCCTATAATAAATAAGATTAAAATTATAAGGAAGATATGATTTGAGGAATTTTAATAAGATATTTTGCAATATTTCAGACACCTGAACACTAATAAACAAGGTCACTTAAACAACTAAGAGTCCATGATCGATGAGAATTGAGAACTGAAGTTGATTGCCAAGATGGTCAGCTAGCTTCATCTGATTAAAGAATTCCAGCACAAAAGACAATTCTCAGAGTGAATGAAGATATATAACAGTCTACTCCCGGATCTCATGAGTAAATTACAGACCGAAGATTGTGCAAATTACATCATACAAGCCATAGTTCCACATTTGAGTTATAGAAAGTTTTTTAAGGTTAAGTAAACAACTAAAGTAATTTCAGATCTAGTGAGGACATAGTTACAGCAGACAGAACAATTCCGTTAGTTGGATCAAAAACTTTTAGTTTATCTCTAGAACCAATAAGATGAAAATCAATATCTACTAAAATTTAAGAAAAATGAGAAGCACCTGTAGGCTAACCACACCACCAAACATGTTTCTTCCGGTGCGCCCACCAGATATGTCAATTCTGCAAGACCAGACAAGACAGGAATAGCAGCCATCAGTATCAAAAGTAAATATCATAAACTTAACTGCTAAACATCATGATGAAGTGTTTACGCATCAAGGAACAGTCCACCATCACTGAGACACTTGACTCTAGTAATCCGTGAAAATAGTCTCCTGAATTCGTCACAGTGCAGTATTGTTGCCAAGCCCCCAGCAGAACATCCAGCTAGAAGAGCCTAAAACTTAATTAAGGTCAATACAAAAATCAAGAGGCCATAGTAGAACTTGATTCAGGTTGTAAGAAAACCTGATTAGCATAGCGCATTCCCTTCAACATCAAATCTTCCATTGCAGCTGACCAGATCCTTTCTCCTCTGAAATAAAGTTGCGCTGCCTATGGAGCAAGGATGAAATAACAGTTGATTCAGCCAGAGGCCTAGCAAAGTTGACTCAGTTTAAATGCCCACTTGAGTGAAATACCATAATTTAGTAGCTTAAACTAATAATACTATATAAATGCCTTAACACTACCTGTGTTTATCTTCCACATTTTGTCCAATAAAAGGATATAATTCATTGGAGAAAAAAAAATCAAATTTCTGACTGGAGTAGTGAATATTTTGGAACAATTTTATGGCAAATTTCCTCAACATATGCTTAGTTTGACTTAAAAGTTGCTGGAAAAGAAAATAAGGATAAAATTTCATAAGAATCTAATAATTTTCATGATTTGTCAAATGTCGACTTCACAACGGAAGCATATAAAATGTTATTCCCACAAACCTCATTTTAACTATCCCCACTGAAAGATGCACCATCGCAATAGCGAACCTTAACTCTGTTCCAATTAAAAAAATCTGCAAATATTTTAGTTCCATCCGGCAAATTAGTAAAACGATGAATAAAAATTATTTACATACATCAAGACAACATGTTTTTAGAGATATGACCAGGATTTTCTTCAGCTTTGTTGCTTAAAATTCCAGTAAATGGTATCTGCTTCTCCATATATTTTGATGAACCGCGGCGAGTTTTCTTACGGTAAACACAAGATCTAATTGAATTGCACCATCCTCCTCCCTGTAATGAAGTGAAGCTCATCCATTGTTTTAAAGATTGTATTGCACATGCTTTAAACACTTACCAAAGATTGCAGTGCAATGGAGATGGCCCTATATAGCTTGTGCAGGTTTTTGATGAGTTATACATAGCCGGTGTGGGGTTGTTAATATTACACTCGGATATGGGATGTCTGCAATTATTCCAATTATTTGTTACCTATTTGTTTTTAACTTGTACATCTTTGATTTGATACAGCTAAGGTTTCAAAATTCGCAAGCTATTCTAGCTTATGATCAGGATTTCATCCAAAATGTCCTTGTATTTATTCCCAGTGTGAATTGGAAATTAATATGGTCAGTTTACTCACATTCTAGGTCCATGGCCAGTTTATATCAATTATCTAGGCAATAATACCGAGTTTCCTAAGAAGAACTATGTTTCTCATATTTGCTGTGAATTAGATTTACAGATCTTATATATATTTAGATGTGATAACTTGTAAAGAAAAAAGCAATATTTTCAACAAGGAAGATTACAGATCTTGTGGTAATTTACATTTCCATAGTTCCCTGTAGTATAACATGCCAGAAACTTTGATTTGTCTCACATACCTCCAATGTAATGAGCCAACTGTCTGCACCAGATCCATGTCCTCGGTGGATATGATACCCAGGTAATGTTCCATCCAGACAGACTGTGCATAGAAAGCAGAGTGGTCATGAAAATAGATGCATTTTATGAATTGAAAGATACTAATTTTTGGTAAGCTGGTTGTTCTTAAGAGTTAGGCACAAAATCATCTGAACATCATTTATAAATTAATCAAATAGGCAAATAAAATGGAATAGAGATTTGGTTTGTTGGGTATGAGTGGGAACATGATTTTCTTCATTTCATTGCTATTTACACAAAACCAGGGCTGCAATCCTCCCTCTGCAATGAAATGAGTGCAGCTTTGTTTTACTTATGATGCTAAATAAAAATACATATGGCTCAAACCATGTAGGTTCAAAATATTTAATAACCTCAATTCGAATCATTCATTTTGTGCTGCAAGGAGAATACAAAGTCCATAGATGTACATGCAGAATGTGTAGATTAATTAAACTCAACATGAAACAAAGTCAAAACTAAAGAGCATTTATCAGATAGTATATACTTAGAGAAGTAAATAGCCATAGATCAAGTTGTGGCGGATATAAATGCAAAGAGAAAACTTAAGTCCAGGCAATACATATGGGAAAAGGTAGAGAGTACCTGCTACTTTAGCAGCAGCTTCTTTAATAAGGGTAAGACCCACCATCAAGGGTCCAGTTTCAGTAGCAGAGACTCCGTAACTGTTCACATTATAATAAGCTGTCGCATTCAAGTCCTTGAATCCATCTACCCATTTGCATAATACCAAACACACCATTCCGTACGTCCATATTAACCTGATGAAGACTGGTGATGTCTTGACCTTGCTTACATCCATGCTCATTTTGCTTTTTAGTTATCAATTCAATAAAAAAAGAACAAGGAAACAATGTTAACCCGGAAGAGATGAATACAAGAGCAGAAAAGGACCACCAAGAGGCTAGGCTATGAAAAACAGAGGAAATGCAGGGTATAAGAATGAGAGCGAGAGCGAGAGAGAGAGAGAGAGAGAAGTGATGAGGTTCAGTTTCATTTCATCCTATCTTTACAAGTAATCATGTTAATTGAAAGAGAATGGAGTGAAAGTAATGTGACTAGTAAAGTGGTGGTTATAAGCATATCAGTATGAACATGAAAGGTGCATGGTTGGGTGGAGTGGGGTCTTTTTGAGTGGCTAACTCTTAATGTTACATCTCCCAAGATTAGAAAAATCATAGAGGTGGGGGCCGGCGAATGGAATCACCACCGACACTAACGGTGAAAGGATGCACATAAACATACTTTTTATACCTGTATATATATACAGTTATACCTGTTTTGTCTCGATAACCCAAAAATAATGTCATCACTTATACTATTTCTTCTTCCCGCTTTAATCCCAATAGAATGCTTATGCACTTGGATGCTATAGAAGCAATTGGTTTCTATAATCAAAATGCTGCGGCCAGCCGCCACACTCAGATCAACCAATGAAGCTGAAGATGGAACCTGTTTCTGTGCTGTGCGTTTTTGGATGTTAAGATCATGGAACCTGTTTCTGTGCTGTGTGTTTTTGGATGTTAAGATCATGGAACCTGTAGTTGTAGTCGGCTGCTTTTTATTGATAACACAATTTCAACCATAAAATAATAAGAACCTAAACTAATATTATGTGTCAAACATGCGAAATGAGAAAGTGGGAGATCGGTATATATATATAGTCATTACAATCTTGGGTAAAGTTGATGCTTTGATTCACATACTAGAAATTCTGCACACATCATATGATTACTGCGCAAGTATATCTTGCTTTAATTTAGTCCCAAATTTCTAACTCATCATTAATCCGGTAATTTCTAAATTATGCCTTATAAATTATCCTAACTCGTAGTACAAGGTCCATGCATATTGTTTAAGTTGGGTTTGCTTCTTTAACTTCTTGCTGCTTAGACACAAAGCTTAAACCACTTGTAGTAGAGAATGACAGAGACTCATCCATGCGACCAGGCCCTGTTTTGATCAGTCTTTCTTGATCAACGGGACTATCTTTTTTATACTTGTACCATTTAGCCCAAAAGATATAATTTCCAAAATTAACAACACTTAGAATTGCCAAGAACCAGTAGAATAGTTCCACATGGTTTTTGTTCATGTCAAGCCCTTGAAGCCACCCTCTCTTGCTTTTTGTAAAATTACTAGTCACCGAGTTAATAACCCCAACGAAAACTGAGCTCAAGTAGTAACCGATAGATAGAGAGAGCCAGGAAAAAGAAGTGGATAGAGATCTCATGCCAGCAGGAGCCTCACTATAAAAGAACTCCATTAGTCCAACAAGTGTGAACATGTCAGCTATTCCAAAGATTGCATAATGAATAGAAAGCCAAAAGAGGCTAATACGGTGATTGTGGTAGACAAATTCATGCTTTCTCTTCACCTCTACAATTCCAGCTATAGTCATTGAAATGGCTGAGAGGATAAGCCCAACTCCCACCCTTTGCAGGTGTGTTATGCCATTGGGGTGGCCTGTCACTTTCCGCAAAACAGGAACAAAACCAAATTCATAAACAGGTATAAGAAGGGACATGAACACCAAAGGAATCACGGGAATGGAGGCTGGAGGGACTTGGAAACTGCCAAGACTTGTATTCATAATGGTTCCTTGTTGGACAGAAAAGGTTTGCAACTGTGCTAAGCATGTGTTCATGAGGGTAGTGCTTAGAAGGATTGGCATCATCCTTGCTAGGATCTTCACTTCTTCAACTTGTGTCACTGTGCAAACTTTCCATTTTCCTGGCATCAAGCCCTTGGGGAGAACGGCTGCTTTGTCCAAGAATCTGGCCATAATTAAAAAATTGAATTGAATTGAATTGTTAGTAAAAGGATAACGTACTTTAAAAAAAAAAAAAAAATAATATCTATATATATATATATATAAAGGAGATCAACCCGAATTGTTTGGTGCGGGGGATGAGCTCTCCCCTTGAAGCAGACTCATATAAGTCATCCGAGTTCTGAGGCACTTGTGTCCGCCAGTTCTTTACACTGACCACTAAGACCTGAAAAAATGAAAAACTTGGGATTTTTATGAACCAAGTAAACTGTTAGAATATTTAAGAAACAGTATACATGCAGGCCTAGGGAAGGTAACAAACAGACAAACCTCTAGAATCCTCAACAATGGACTATCTCCTGGCACTCGGACTCGATAAAATGACTTTCCTAATGCAGCAAAGATAAGACCAACAAAAGAGCAAGACATGGAAATTATGAAACCTATATCCCATCCCACTGTTGTGCTTACATACACTACAAAAGTGACCCCAATTGTAGCTCCAATTGTTATACTTAGCAAAAACCAGTTGAAGAAAGTGGCTATAAGCAAGCGTTCTTTGGGATCCTTGTAGTCAAACTGATCAGCACCTAAAGCTGGAACCGACCCTCTGATTCCACCTCCTCCAAGTCCCAGCAAGCATATTGAAACATAGAAAAGAAGAGCTTTAGTACCGTCCACACAGCTAGTCTTCCCGCATGGCTGAGGTTGCAGTTTAGAATAATGGGATTGAATAATCAGCAACAAGTACCCCTGATCGTCAAACATCCGAAGAGATATGTGTAAATTTGGATGCAGCAATGAATATTTAATTTGTTTACACTGTATATGGATATGGAAAGTATACGTACCAGCAACTGAACTACACCAAAGAGCAGACAAGTATTGAGGCGATTCATATAAGTATCTGAAATGAAGCCTCCAACAAGTGTGAGCAAGAATGTGGTACCCAAGTAGTTAGTAGTAGTTGTAGCTGAACCAGAGAGATCGAAGTGCATGATCAACAAGAAATACAAGACCAGGCTAGCCATGTTGGCTACAAAGCCTATGTTATCCAAAACCATAATTGCTGCAAATAAGATTCACGCAAATTCTTAAGTGAAAATTAATTCTAAACATAATATTAATTTATTCTTGAAAACCACATCAGTGACTTACCAAAGATGAAATACGTAGCTTTAAATCCGCCTTGTCTCTGCGTATTCTTCATTGGTTGACAGATGAAATCTTTGACGCCGGCATTATTATCATTCAAGTCCTACGTTATACATTGGATTAGATAGGATCATCCGTGAGAGAAAAGCTGATACTGCCATGCATGATGCATCTACATCTGCATATATGCTTAACAGAATGCATTAAGTTAACTACATGACGTTGTTAAAAAAGTAAATGATTATTACCATGGCTGAGGAGCTTGGTTAATACAGAAAGAAGAAATGGTCTCCTACAAAATTATTTTGGTTGTGTTTGTGTATAGTATATAACTATATATAGAGCAAAGTGTAGTAATGAATCATATATAAAACAGATTTGACTACGTGGACGGACCGGCCTCAAGATCCTTCAAATAATCATCCATATAAATATAAATCACTATCATGAGACAATCATATATGAATGACTTATCCTAGATTAGCCCTATCACATGACAAGTAGAACCTCAGCAGTCAATAGTTTCGTTGGTATACTTCAGATTTTTGTGATACGTGAGATTCTTGGCTTTAATAAACAGAGCAAAAGTGTTGATACTCTCGAAAAGGTGACGGATTTTCCAACCTCTTAAAATTAGATTATGCATAAGACACAAGTTAAAAGTTTGTATCCACCTCCATCTCCTCTTGTTAGTCAAGTGTATGTAACGGTCTGTACTGTTTCATGACGCTGCTTCATTTTGTCGACGAATCTCTTAACGCAATTCGGCAATTGTAACTGAATAGAATAGGACAATTACATTAAATATTCCTGCCTGCATTTTTCTTCAAACGACAATTCCAGCAATAAAATAAAGATCAACTCCGATTTTTGAATGTATTAATTAAGAGTCTTTACATTATTTACCAAACTTATTAATAAGGATGATCACTAAGAGAATTTATTTAACTATCACCTTCAAAGCTTTGAAAAAATAGTTAAAATGCATCCAAACTGATCCAACACCTCATCACTAAAAAAAGAAAAAATAAAATTTCCAACAATAATCAAAGAGAAAAAATCTACTCCAAATTCGAAAATGATTTCTTTTGCCTATGGTATCTACTTACTGGTAGCATTACTCAAGCAGACAAATTTTTCTTTTCCAAATCTTACAATGTTCTCTCACACTTTTGAAGCGACAGTTAGTCCTTCGTCAACTTACAAAATAAATCTCGCCTACTCATTTGTGAGCTAAGCAATGACAAATTGCAATGTTTGAGGTTGTGAACTTAACCTTAATGTTCTATAGTATATATATCTAACAATAATGCTACGGACACCGGGATTTTTATACCGAAATATTATACCGGCCTACGTGTAAGACATCTCTAAATTTTTTAACAATTTTTTTCTAGTGAATGGCCATCCATCAAATTTGGCCGGCCATTCACTCACATGGACGCCCGTCCATATACAAGGGACGAGCTTCCTCTATAAATAAAATACAATAAAAAATTTTTATAATTTTTTTTTTTTAAAGTATGGACGGGCGTCCATTACGAATGGACGCCCGTCCAAAAGTAATGGACGACCGTTCATATGTAGACAATCGTCCATTACTTTTGGACGCCTTTTGGATGGGTGTCCGTTCGCCTGTCCATACTTAAAAAAAAAAAAAAAAATTAGAAACATGGATACTACTTCTTCTTCTTCCTTTCGGAAATGTTTACCTTCTTCGCTCTTCTTCTTCTTCAAGCCAAGCCAAAACTGATCGCCTCTCCAGCCACTATTAATTTACTTTTCCAGATAACCATGATCCCTCTTTACACGCTACAAACTAAATCATAAAACCAATGCCAATAACTCAACTAAAGCAAACATCACACTAAGAAGTCTACAGATTCACAAAAAACAATTAAAAAGAATATCCAGATAAACAATGGATTTCAAAACAAAAACTAACTATCAAAACAATTTACTTTTCTAGAAGGGACTTCTGTGGTGAGGAGCTTTTGACCTGGGCACTGGAACCCAAATCTAGCATTAACCTCCCATCCTCTACCTGGACGATAAAGGCTATGAGAGAGATTCAGGCTTTTGCTCTATCGCTGAAGAGTTAAAATTTGCGGCCACTCAATTCAGGCGCCTTCATAGTAGACAGGTTCAGCACACCTTCAGGTTCTACTCATAACAGTGGAGGACATGGGCCGCATGTTTCATCCAAGCTGCATGGCGCCGTTATTCCAAGAGAAAGAAAATGAAACATTTCCGAAAGGAAGAAGAAGAATCAGTATCCATGTTCCGAATTTTTTTTTTTTTTAATATGTACGGTCGTCCATTACGAATGGACACCCGTCCATCCCAAATATTTATAAAAACTTTTTATTGTATTTTATTTATTTAAGGGACGTCCGTCCCTTGTATATGAACGCGACGTCCATGTGAGTGAACGGCCGTCCAAATTTGATGGACGGCCGTTCACTAGAAAAAAATTGTTAAAAAAATTAAAAATGTCTTACACGTAAGCCGATACAATATTTCGGTGCAAAAATCCCTGTAGCATTATTGATATATCTAAACATAACGGGAATGCCAATTCTTTACGGACACAACCATACACCCAATCAATTTCACAGAATAATTATAATTCTATATCATTCCAATAATAAATTCCAAACAATATCAACCCATATCCGAGAATAATAATAAATTAAATTTACAAACTAAGATAATAAATAATAACAAGATTACATTTAAATATTACTACTTCCAACATTAACCAGATATTTACTATTACAAAACTCACATAAACATTAAAGAATTTCATGTTATCAATCATAAGTATGCACCATCCACTTCTCCATCAAAACCAAAATAGTAAAGGCAAGCCAAACAAATGAGGACGTCAGTGAGAATAAAACCCACTACATCAAAGACAAACTTGGGAGCAAACAAGCCCCATACCTGCAAATGCAACAACGCAGCAACTTTTTGTTAAATACATACATATGGATGGTAGAAATAGAATACACCGGTAAGAAAATTTCAGTGAAATTATGCTATTACCATTAGATGTCGCCTCTGTATGGTCACACAGATTATAGTTGCTATGACAGTAGTGGCCATAATAAGTCCGTACATCAAATACATCTAAATTTATGTTTCAGCAAAATCAAGAAATAAGTGAAACAAATCAATCAACCTTTGCCAAAAATTAGATACGTCCAACTAACAAAGACATAAGAAACTTACCAGGAATAACTGCACCGAAAGGAGTCTTCTATCCTGGTCAGTTTGACCCAACATATGTTGGGGTACAACCAGAAATGGAAGTCCAAATACTGGAAGAATGTGAGAAAACCCAAATGTATCAATTGTTAGAAGGATAGCTTGCCGAACAAGGAAGAAATCATCAAACCTGAAAGATATACAGGTCTCAAAACCATGCACCTACAGAGTTATGGTCATTAGCCCATACAATAGTGACAGCTGCAACAGTGGGCGATTCAAATGCTAATGACATTTTATATTTAAGATTTTGATAAAAGCCAAAAATAGATCTGTGTTGCCAGTGTCCAATAAATGTAGTTTTGATAGCTAGCTTCCCCATAACAATGCAAGGAATGAGTACATTTAAACCTCACCCAGTAAATGCAGCACATATCGGAGGCCATCGAAAGCACACCTGCAGAGAATGTTATTAAAGGTTATAGATCATATGTGAAGGTGAATAAATAAAGCTTCTCAAATAAAACAAATTATAATAAGAAACTGTTACAGATACCAACATAGAAATTAATATGGCATTACTTCTAATACTATTAATAAAACATTGATATGACATTACTTTTTAATTAAAAATCATTCACAATTATTGAGTTGAGTTTTTTACATTCATTCACAATAATTTGTACTACATGGATTGATATAATGTATCATTTCATATTGTATGATTCCTATAATAAACACAAATTTTATAGATAGTATTGTTTTTATAGCTTATAGTAAGTTCCACTGTACTTCCAAAAATAGACCTTAGTATGATGAAAAATAGCATGTAGAGAAGTGCATAGCTTTGCCTTATCAGCTTAAGTTTTCAGAGTAACCAGAATAAGTTACAGTTGATAAACTACCAAAAGAATAAATCATGGAACCAAACAGAGTAGTTGAAGCAAAGCATCCAATAAGCAATCAACAATCTGAATTACAAGCATTTACCGTGACCAGTGGAGAAAACAAGCATGTGGCCAAAAGGCTCCATTGCGTCACAGAAGAGGGTCAAAATTTAGATTTACAGCAGTTTTATCCTTAGGATCCACTTCTATGTTCCCCAACCTCACTATGCAATGACCTGCCAAGAAAGATACATCAGAGTCTTTCAGAAAGAGTGGTGGGCTACTGCAATCTAGACAACTGCAATCTAATACCAGAGGAGTATTAACAATGGAAGAACATCAAGTATTAATCTTATAACCTACAATAAACATCAAGCTAGAAATCAAGGAGCATAGAAGACAATGCTATAAAACACAATCAATATCAAGTTATAGCTCAACTAATAATATACACCGAAAAGCAAGTCTAATTATGTATGGCATAGTTGTTAAGTAGCCATATGACATAAAAGCTTAAGCTAACAAGAGGCCAACAATAGTAGTAACCTTTTTATAAGTCCCTTATGTGAATGTGGACCAAATCATAATAGACAGATACAAATGTAGGTGCAAATAAGTGCCACAGGGAGATTGAAATTCAGGATCTTCACTCTGAAAACTCTGCTTTGAACCATATTAAGTTACACTGATCTACAAGATTTCTAAGAAAAGCATGGAGGGCCCAATGTGATAGATGCCAAGTTAATTGTTCAAACACAGATAGACTAGAAAAAGTACCTCCAATTATGGTTGCTAAAGCAATCAAAGGCCCTTGCTTTCCCGACAGAAGAATGATTGTTGAACTACAAGAAGCTAACATAGCCACTATCTTTTTACCAAACTTTTCTGCTATCAGAGCTCTCTCTCTCTTAACAATGACTAATTGCCAGTAATAAAAGTTGTCCAAGCCCCACGACCATATATTATTCGAGGGATGTAATTTCTTCCGATCCCATGAAGCATCAGAACCGAACTCAAAAATTACTTTCTGACATCCAATGCACAGCTATGAGAATATAACATAATTAGTACCCAGACAACAAACTTCGAAATGGCCCAAAAGGCTGCAAGCTATGGTAATGTACAGCAAGTATGCCAAAATAGTTAGAGCCAGAATTGGCACAATTTCAGCCATGAGTGTCGACACGTGATGACCAGGGGCATTCAAGCATCATGAAGAAGTTTGCTCATAAACAGAGAATTCACAGCCTGCTTGATAGCCCAACTTTCTAGTAAATCGGTAGAACAGTGATCAAGAAAAGAAAAAAATTGCCTGCAAAAATAGTCCTAAAAGATTTGCATTATAATCAATAAACTATTATAATACAAAGAAAATGCATATACTGAAAGCTTTGTATAGTAACCTTAAAGGTTACAAGTCCTACTTCCTTTAGCATCTTCCCTCTCTTGATTGAATAACGAAATTAAAATGACGGTTGTGGCTAAAAGAAAATTTGCCACTTTTCCTTCTTCACTGAACACAAGGTTTTAAAACAATTATGCATTAATAGAAAAGAATATCATACTTAAAATAGAAAGTGCATTCATGGAGGCAGTCAGAAATAGTACTTCTACAAATAAACTATTAGATAGAAAGCTGCATGCACGTATCATCACAATAAAGCAAGCAAAGAGTAACCTCAAAGATATCTCCAAATCTCCAATGAAGAAAGAGAAACACAAATGAATTTTCATCCTCTTAATAGAAAGGATATGGACTATAGTGAGATTAACATAATCCCAAGACCAATTCCATCATCTCTAAGTTAAACTCAGTCCATTTGGAGCGTGCCAGCTCAGCAACACTCAATAGAAAATTAGAATAAGCATCAATTTCACTTTTAAGATATGCTAATGATGAATTGCGATTTCATCTCTATTAGACAACAATTTCCTGGAGCAACAATGATTATTCTCCTGCTTGAGCATAAGATTGATATGTAATAAGTCTTCGCGGGAAAATCCAATGACGGATGAAGCTGAATAGACATCAATGTATCTTTTCACCTACACCAATTTATAATTGGTGAGAAAGAAGCAACAAGCCAAAAGGGAGACTCAAATAAAAAGCTAGAACTGTTCAATGTTAGAAAGCCTCAAGGGTAATTACTGTCACATACACATGAAGGTTTGCATTTTAAGATTCTGTCTACCTTTTGCAAAGTTACTTCATGAATCTTTTAATCTGTTCTGAAAATTTTTCAATTCATTCTCAATAGAAACCAAGTATCTCTTGTAAAGTGCATGTCCAGCATCATAACAAAATCATACGTCAATGATAAGATATATGTTTTAAAACTGAAAAGTTCTAAATGAAAGAGCAAATCAACATTGATTCTTCACTTTGTTTTCAAGAATGATGGGACCATCAATTAAATCACACTTCATAGCTGATTAACCCCAACAAGAGAAAAAAAAAAAACGGATAAAGTTATGGTGGTCAAGATTTAAAATTTCTAGCCTACAAAGATTTAAATATCAACATTACAAACACAAACTCAAGGCCCAACATTGGTTGTTGTATCATCTTTTGATCTGACTTAGAATTTGGATAAGAAAATATACGCCAGAATTGACGCAGAGTACGTTGCAATAGTTCTGCATCCATTCTTCCACTTTCAACCGATTTGAGCAATTTCCACATTAACTCTCTCTAGATTCCAAGTACCAGCACCTAACGCATATAGCTCAGGGCTAACACGGCCAATACTGAAAAGAAATCAACTTAAATAGTTTCACCTTTTATTAAAAAAATGGGAACAAGACAAAAGCATCTTAATGAAACTGGAAGGAGCGATGTTCAAAATCAATGACTGATCAATTAAAGCCAAAAATCCTTACAGTTTTCATTTCTTATTCCTGAGGGAAACAAAATATCCAAAAGTACTCTTAACAAATATGTAAAGTTGACATAGAATCATCTAGTCATTAAAGTCCCAAATGATATCAAAATTTTTCTTTTTTTCTCCTAACTAAAAAGCCAGGATATAGTTTGTAGAACAAGTTTAACTTCCAACGATAATACCACAGGAACCGTATTGCAACAACAATCATAGTTGTCAAAGTTTCACTGCAAAACGTATTTAGTATGAATTTACAGATATTACCTTCACAATGGTAATGCAGGTTATGCTAAGGCGCAGGTTGTATAAAATATATTTCTGCATATGAGGCAATGTGCTTGCATAGTATAACATGCAAAAAATGCATCAGCTAATTGAGAAAATCTTCTATACTTTGGGTACATGTGCACCTTTATAGTTGGAAGAAGGTTGCAGTAAAAAAACCAAACTCAATGCTATTATGCATGGGCCACAGATACCACACCTAGTGAAGAGAAACAAAGCAATTCACTCAGGGAAAATCCTTTTAGACTACAGCCTTTAGCCTAATTACATGTGATAGTTTTCCACAACATAACTGACTTGCCACAGCATAATAATGAAGTCTGAAAAAATCAAACTACCAAGTTATTATAAACTCACTAACTTGAGAAAAGAACATGACTATAATGAAATTGAGGGATTCTTACAACACCTTCCAAAAGGAAAGGGGACACCAAGCAGGGCTGACAGTTACTGCAAAATCAAGCTGCAGACAGAAATTAACCTTATATGTTGAATAAGAGAAGTAAATAGTTCAATCAAGTAAAGAAATCCCATTTTTGCCATTAACAAAAGATAACTATTCTAACCTGTGTGGACAGAGCTGATGAAAGTCCTTTGTGATCCTGAAATAGGAAGTGACAAATGTAATTGATCAGAAAAATAGGAATCCAAAATCAAAATAACAAATATTTATCAATGTCCCAATTTACCGGAGTAATTTACTTTTGTAGAGATTTTACAATGTATAAGAGGGATATATATCACACACATAAAATGAAATTCTAATATAACCTGAAATTCTAAGTTGTATCTCTATACTGCTTATACACTATTACAAAAATATGTATTTGAGCGGTGTAGTTTACAACTAAAGTAGTCCCAGTTTTAATACTATTACGATATTTCTACATTTGTTCTCCTCATTATTTTCTTTCCAGTATATGAGCAAATGGAAGATATTTTCCAATTAAATTAAGGAAAGATAAGATTACAAGCGTATATATAGTCACTAGAAGAGATAATACCAAATTTATTTCACAAGATGAAGAATCAATTTCAGATGGCATCGAGGATGGAGGCTCTTGAAACTCATAGCAAAAATTGATGTTCAACCTGCAACATGCTACTCAAGTTAGAATGACTGAGGAATAGATACTAAGTCAAGTTTCCATCAGAAGCAAGATAAGTATTCACCCTTCAGCAGACCCCACCATGATCACCATTAATAGTTTGCCATGGTCACCCATCACAAGAAGAAAAGTATTCTCATGTATGCACTGGTCCTGACTGGCTTCCTATCACTTCGATTACTTTCTGAAGCAAATAAGTAGTTTGTTCATAGAAAAACTAGAGAAGAAGAAAGATAAATGGGCAAATGCTGAATGTGTGTAAGAATATCATGTTATTTAACTCTGTCATCTTTATAGAGTGAAATCAAATTAGAAAAATTATAATAAACACAAGATACTAACTGATTTTGAAACAATTATACGTGCCATGTAAGAAATAGTGATCATTTTCTGATGATATAAGGGGGAACTAAAAATTACAAAGAATAACCAATTTATCACAGAGACAAAAGTACCAAGCCAATAACCCAACAAACATAGGCTCAAGAAAGCAGAATGTAGGGTTAAGAGTATATTAAAGTGAAAATTATATAGATAGCAAGAAATTTACTTCTAACATGGCATTGTATGCTCCAACTTATCTATCATGGAATGGAATCAACACCAAAAAGTGTCCGGCATGATCCTGAATACAATAAAGATAATAAAACTAAATTCTCCGATACAGCCTGCAAATTGCATAAAGGAAAGAATCTGTGGCCTCCACTCGAAACCTTAATAACTTTATGCACATTATTAGAGATATAAAATCGAAAAAATGTCATTATTGTGGAGACATTAAAACTATGGGGAAGGAGCTATATTTCTCAGTGAAAGAAAGGATACAATTGTAGATTATTTCTTCTTTTACTGTATTCTAAATCTAGTTGTTATGGGAAAAAAAAAAAAAAAAAAAAAAAAAAAAAAAGCATGTGAATTATAACACCAAGAAAATGTGCAATAAGGACATCCCAATCTTTTCGTACAAAGATGGAAATAGGTGTTCATGCATCCATTGTCCACCTGAAACAGAAAATGTCATCAAACTTTGACCATGAAAAAAGAGGTTTATTCAATTCTGGATGCAAAAAAGAAAAAGAACCTTAAACAGCATACCGTATGAAGATCCTTAACATTGAAAGAGGGGTAAGGATAGGATTTTTTGAAAGATGAGGAACAACTGCAACAAGTGTCATCCCCCATCATCACTACACGCTTTCCATTTGAAACCAACTGCAAGTAGATCCATAAATAGACTAATGAATTTTCATGGAAGTAAGAAGTGATATGACTGCAGAGAAAGAACAAACCTAATATTGCATAAAGAGAACAAGGGTAAATAACAGGCACTTGGCCCCATCAGTTAACTGTCATTCCTCTTAAATTAATAAAAGAGTGCCCGTTGATGGATGCATGTTAGCAATAGAAGAAAAGACAAGTGCCTCTTGCCTTTGTGCGAAATTGATATGCGATCCAGCTGAACAAATGAAAGTTTACTGATTTCCCCGTCTGGATTAAATTTACCACTAAGGAAATAGAGGCAAAAAAAGACGAGCAACGAACCTGATGTATGAAGTTTCCTCAGCAATGGCTGGAGCACCGAAGCTATTCCCAACATCGATAAAAGTTGGTAGTCCACCAGTTGTAAGCCCTAAAAGAGTAATAATAAGGTAAAGCTAAATAGAAATGAAAATAGAAGAAATCGAAAGAAAGTAGAGTGACCTTCAAACGCGCAAACTAGTAGTGGGTGGATCTGCGATAGCTTTGAAGATACGGGCAGAAGTTCCTTCAGTAGATGCTAGCTTCTGAAGGACTGGTAATCTGTCCATCCAAGGTTTTGACTCTGCAATTTAAAAAATTGAGTAGCACAGAAAAATAAACTAAAAGTACCTACATTGAAATATGCAGTGAATTGCTAAAAAAATGCCGACCTTTGAAAAGGAACTGGGAGCAACGAAATCAAATCTGAAAAAAAAATTAGGTAAAATGGCCTGGAGAAAAGAAAATAGAAGCGAGAGAGTGAGAAGAAATACCTGAGGGCATAAGAACGATAATGACTACGCGATCAACAGCAGGTCTAGTCCAACAAGTGGTATTTGATTGGGTAGATGAAAGCAGGGGAGTGAGAAACATCAGAAGAATTGGTGTAATAAGGAAGCTCCGTTCGAGTTAACAGAAATCCTCGAGTGAATATGAATATGCCTACAATGTGTAGCACTGTCAACATCACCATTATCACCCATTTCTTCGCCCAAACCTATCATATTTCAACCAAAACTTGGATTCGTAAATCAGAAGTTGTGTTTATGTTGGGAATAATGCAGTTGCAAGACAAGAGAAGAATGAAGATTGCGTTAGTATATAGAATTTGAAAAGATCAAAAGTCAAGGCGAGTTAAAAGTATTGTAAATATATATTATTATATTTCTATTTTTTTTTTTTTTAAATGTTAATGCTGGACCCACATGTAGAAGGATAGTAACGGAATGAAGCAAGGGGAAGAAGTATCTGGAATTTTTTCTGTTGCGGTTATTTATAAATCTAAGGTTATGAGGGTAAACGAGTTGGCAAATCGTGTATGTGATATCTGTTGATTTTGGCGAAGAAAAGGAAAGATGGAGAGAGGAGGAAGGAGGGTATCACGAGGAATGTTGCCCCTGCTGGCTCTTCATGCGTTTAACGAGTATTATAGGTTGCCGTGGAAACCACCGGTTACCGCCGCTCTTCTTGCTACGAACACTCTTATCTATATCAGGCCTGCTATCCTCGATTCTCTTCTACCCCCTATTGATCAAGTCTGGTTCAATCCTCATCTAATTCTCAAGGTAACATATCCTTTCTCCTTATCCTTTTCCCTTTTCGTAAGTAAATCATTTCCCATCCACTTTATTTCATTATTTACTCAATTATCAATGTTTTGTAGATGCAGATGATCTACACTATCACTAAGAGATAGATTTATTTTCATGGCCTCAACCTTAACAATCAATTAAGCATGTTGTATGTTTTACTTTCTATGGCCCCTGTGTTTCTGATCTCATTTCTGGTGCCTTTACTGTTCGTCCCTATGTTGACCCAATAATCAAATAAGTTCACTCCATGTTAACCTTTAATTGGATTCGTTCAAATCAAACCAATTATAAAAAGTGATCATATGAGCAGAATTGGAAATTTCATTTCATTTTATTGTTTTTAATCATCAAAGCTTAAATATATGTATACTTGGTCTTACTGCTTTTTTAACTTCACATGTTTATCTGTATCATCCTTTGGTTGAACAGCACAGGGACCTGAAACGCTTATTCTTGTCTGCATTCTATCATGTGGGTGAATCTCACTTGGTCTACAACATGATGTCACTCTTATGGAAGGGGATCCAACTGGAAACCTCTATGGGAAGCACTGAATTTGCCTCCATGGTTGTTGCATTGGTTGGCATGTCCCAGGGTATAACGTTGCTGTTAGCCAAATCTCTTCTTTTGATTTTTGACTACGACAGACCTTATTACTTTGAATCTGCTGTTGGATTTTCTGGTGTTCTCTTTGCCATGAAAGTTATCCTCAATTCTCACTCAGAAAACTATACTAATGTATATGGATTCATAGTCCCAGCCCGTTATGCTGCTTGGGCAGAATTGATTCTTATCCAGATGTTTGTACCTGGTGTCTCATTTCTTGGCCACCTTGGTGGTATCCTTGCTGGGATTCTCTATTTGAAGTTGAAGACTGGGTATTCAGGTTCAAACCCGCTGACAATGTTCATTAGAGGTGTTACTGGTGCATTGAGATGGCCTTCAAGGTTTGTACGGTATTTGTTTCGACGACAGAGGATTTCTGGTAGGGGAACTGTTGGTCGGACTCACACCAGAGGTACTTTACCCAGCACATGGAGATGCCAAGCATGTACGTTTGATAATTCTGGCTGGTTAAACATGTGTGAGATGTGTGGAACAAATCGAAGTGGCAATGAATTGCCATCTGACTCTGGAGTCATTTCCTTGGAAGAATTACGCCGTAGAAGAGTTGAAAGATTTGGTTGACAATCTTTCTCCATTGACTTAATGGGGTGATTCTGACTTACCAACCTTTGTAAAAAGATACAGTTGCAATAACCATTGCAAATCATGCTGCTGAGAGAGTTTCATGTGAATCTAGTTTTCCCCTTCATTCCTATGGATCCTTATTTGATTGCTGCTCCGAAATAGTTATGTTTGACTTTGTCAAGTCTGTCATGTTGGCTACCTAATTTGGCTGATCATTTTTGGTTTAGTGGTAATATGTCATGAACTTTGGTATGTTGTCATCCATAAAATTGTAGCGACTCTAACTGGATTTTTTTGAGCAATGTACAAACAGTCATGAAATTAGTTCAATCATTGGAAGCCTTTCTAAATGTGGAGTCATCCAGCATTTATAGGAGGTTGTATGGGGTTATTTAAAACACAAAGTGTCTTTTTTGGAGGCCTATTCATTAAAGGGTAATATTACGTNCCCCTGTGTTTCTGATCTCATTTCTGGTGCCTTTACTGTTCGTCCCTATGTTGACCCAATAATCAAATAAGTTCACTCCATGTTAACCTTTAATTGGATTCGTTCAAATCAAACCAATTATAAAAAGTGATCATATGAGCAGAATTGGAAATTTCATTTCATTTTATTGTTTTTAATCATCAAAGCTTAAATATATGTATACTTGGTCTTACTGCTTTTTTAACTTCACATGTTTATCTGTATCATCCTTTGGTTGAACAGCACAGGGACCTGAAACGCTTATTCTTGTCTGCATTCTATCATGTGGGTGAATCTCACTTGGTCTACAACATGATGTCACTCTTATGGAAGGGGATCCAACTGGAAACCTCTATGGGAAGCACTGAATTTGCCTCCATGGTTGTTGCATTGGTTGGCATGTCCCAGGGTATAACGTTGCTGTTAGCCAAATCTCTTCTTTTGATTTTTGACTACGACAGACCTTATTACTTTGAATCTGCTGTTGGATTTTCTGGTGTTCTCTTTGCCATGAAAGTTATCCTCAATTCTCACTCAGAAAACTATACTAATGTATATGGATTCATAGTCCCAGCCCGTTATGCTGCTTGGGCAGAATTGATTCTTATCCAGATGTTTGTACCTGGTGTCTCATTTCTTGGCCACCTTGGTGGTATCCTTGCTGGGATTCTCTATTTGAAGTTGAAGACTGGGTATTCAGGTTCAAACCCGCTGACAATGTTCATTAGAGGTGTTACTGGTGCATTGAGATGGCCTTCAAGGTTTGTACGGTATTTGTTTCGACGACAGAGGATTTCTGGTAGGGGAACTGTTGGTCGGACTCACACCAGAGGTACTTTACCCAGCACATGGAGATGCCAAGCATGTACGTTTGATAATTCTGGCTGGTTAAACATGTGTGAGATGTGTGGAACAAATCGAAGTGGCAATGAATTGCCATCTGACTCTGGAGTCATTTCCTTGGAAGAATTACGCCGTAGAAGAGTTGAAAGATTTGGTTGACAATCTTTCTCCATTGACTTAATGGGGTGATTCTGACTTACCAACCTTTGTAAAAAGATACAGTTGCAATAACCATTGCAAATCATGCTGCTGAGAGAGTTTCATGTGAATCTAGTTTTCCCCTTCATTCCTATGGATCCTTATTTGATTGCTGCTCCGAAATAGTTATGTTTGACTTTGTCAAGTCTGTCATGTTGGCTACCTAATTTGGCTGATCATTTTTGGTTTAGTGGTAATATGTCGTGAACTTTGGTATGTTGTCATCCATAAAATTGTAGCGACTCTAACTGGATTTTTTTTGGAGCAATGTACAAATACAGTCATGAAATTAATTCAATCATTGGGAGAGCCTTCTAACAGTGGAGTCATCCAGCGTTTATAGGAGTTTGTATGGGGTTATTTAAAACACAAAGTGTCTTTTTTGGAGGCCTATTCATTAAAGGGTAATATTACGTTTATAAATGAATTTTATAAACTTTCTCTTATAAATTGATTGACACCTAAGTTAATATTAATACGTTAATTGATAATTTTGATTAAACATGAATGATTATTTTTTAGGGATAATTGTTTCTTATGAAGGATCAGTTATTTTTATATGTAGAATAACCATTCTTCTTTTATATATGATTGTTTTTTCAAAGAATAACTTGTTTCGTAAAGAAAAAAAATGTAAGAAATGGCTATTCTATAGAGAAGAAACAATCGTTATTTTGAGGGGAATGATGAACTATCCTTTCTTATAACAGGAATAATCATTCATTTCATATATTCCTTTCTTGAATGACTATTCTTATGTCTAATCAAAATTATTTTGTGTTTTAAGTGTGGTGGAAGCTGCCACTTACGTCATATCCGTGTTTGTGAAAGTTGTTTGTCGCACAATTTTTATCCATTCATTCAAATGATGATACCACATGAACTACGATACAAGGCTTGCTTGGCTTATATTTTATAAACATAAATCTCAATTATAAGATGACATGACATGTTGCAAGATATTGTCCAGCACGCAGGGCCCTTTTGGTATTTTGGAGGACACTTGGACGTAGTCAAAGAATTTAGATTTTGAGGGTTTAGGAGATAGCGAGTAGGAGGCATAATATATCCAATGCTCAGCTGCAGCTCATAGGTAAGGCTAGAAAATGATGGTGGTAAAAGCTCCTCTTCCTTTCCTGATTGTTCCTTGTCCGTCTCCTTCCTCTTCGTCGTCAAGGAACAGCAACGCCGGCTTTATGAAGAAATGTGTCAGCAATAACAGAGTTCTTTTAGTTAGCAGTAGTTACAGTCGTAAGCCCTTGGAAACTGCGGGTGCTTATCAGCTTATCAACGATGAGACTGGCGAGAAATTGATAGTTTGGGGTGGAGCTGACGATGAGCCTTCTATCCCTCCTAACCATCTACTCCACTCCTCTAATTGGAACCCTAACCCCTCTCAACACACTGCAGGTTCCTTTCTCTTTAAATTGTCTATTCACATGTCCCATTTACTTTCTCTTATCTATTCACATGTCCCATTTACTTTCTCTAATTTTCTTTTCTCCTGCTAGGTGTACTATGTTCATTTCATCTCACAGTATCTCATACATACATATTCCTTCACTTCACTTCTAATTTGGACTAAAACCTACTAAACATGTTGTCACATTTGCTACAGACAATAATTCTTCGAGACAATCTACTGCTAGCTTTTCAAGATTGAAAGCTCAGAGAGTAAGAGCTCTCGTCAATAAAACTTCTTCGACAAAAAAAGAAGTTAGGAAACCTGACAACCAACATTCGCAATCTAAACGTCACTCCTTGGGGAAGAATAAGACTGTAAATGCCCTCAAAGAAGAGCAAAGATTTTCAACAGCAGATAAAAAACAAATTACTGGGACAGGACAACACATGGACGATTCTCTTGTACCTGTGGAATGTGGTGTCTCAGATAATCAAATTGTACCGGCTAGACTTCATAAGTCTGATGCCCAGGGAGATGAAGCTGGGATTTTAGTTCCTAGAGCCTCTAATGCTTACTTGAGAGGATGGGGCAATGGAGGATCCATTCATAACCTCAAATCTGAATCAAAAGGCCTCCCAAAGCAGCGGCATAAATTCTCCACTGATACAGAGTTTTTTAGTCGAAAATCCTTTAAAGAATTGGGATGCACTGATTATATGATCGAATCCTTAAAACGACAACATTTCCTGCGTCCTTCGCGAATTCAGGTATGCTGATGCTGTGCCACGTTGATCACAGAAAAAGTTTTCACAAAAACAGTTTAGAAGATAGGATTTTCTCATAAAGTTCACCGGCAGATGCAGTTGGTTTGCATGATTGCTCGCTTTATGTCAATTCAGTTCTACTACAATCCATGCCNTGATCGAATCCTTAAAACGACAACATTTCCTGCGTCCTTCGCGAATTCAGGTATGCTGATGCTATGCCACGTTGATCACAGAAAAAGTTTTCACAAAAACAGTTTAGAAGATAAGATTTGCTCATAAAGTTCACCGGCAGATGCAGTTAGTTTGCATGATTGCTTGCTTTATGTCAGTTCAGTTCTACTACAATCCATGCCCTTTAGAGCTTAGAATTGACTATTTCTTCAGCTCGTTCAAACAACCCTCTCCTTGGGCCCTGCCGGAAAAAAAAAAAGTAAAAAATAAAAATTGAAAGAAAGGTTTCTCTTTTAATATTTGTTCTTGTTTGTCTCTGGTTAACTTAACAGTCATTCATTTGAAAATTTTCTGAGATGCATATATATACATATATATATTATTTTATTATTTTTTATAGAATTCTAGTTTTATTTTTCTTCTTTTTCTTCTTTGCAATGATGATATATATACCCGTGCTGATGCCCTTACTGCACACACTCTTGCTTTATGTTAAGGTAGATGCTAGTTATAGTAGTTTTTGTTAGTTTGGTCTCCTAAAAGTACTTGGTTTCTCATTTGTGTGAATAATGGTTTGATTGTATTCTAAACTACGAAGCTCATGTTGGGTCAACTTGAACAAGTGTGTGCCTACAATCAGGTTATAAATGAGATATTAGTCATGAAGGTTAAAAGCTCACTTGATATCCCTTGCTAAAAAGTTACCTGTTCTGTCAAGTACAAATTAGGTCCTTGCTAAACATCTTGGGTGATTGCAGGCCATGGCATTTACTCCTGCTATTGCAGGAAAGAGCTGTATTTTAGCTGATCAAAGTGGATCAGGGAAGACACTGGCATATCTCCTACCTGTGATTCAACGTCTTAGGCAAGAAGAACTCCAAGGACTTAGCAAATCCACTTCAAGAAGTCCTCGAGTAATTATCATGGTACCAACCGCTGAGTTGGCTTCTCAGGTGAGTTTCTGATGACTGCAGTTCCCTCAGTCAACATGCGATATTGTACTATCCCATCTTATTATTGCCTTCTTTAAATAACAATACATCTAGTTGCTGGTTCTTTGATTTGTGTGGATAGGTGCTTTTTTTTTTTCTCATAAAAAGTGCCTTGCACATATTTGATGATGTCATGCCATTTCTTGTACATGGACAAACAACTTATTCTTGATTAACACTGTATCAGTCGAAGCTCTAAGACATTTTATGACTGTCAAGGAACTTACTTTAAAGAAAAGCTCTCAATATTTGATTTAAGAGAGAACAAAGGCTTTTAACGTTGAGGTTAAAATTTCAACCTCATCGGCCTTTTGTTCTTCCTTTCTTATCAAATTTGTTGGAGAATTTGTTGGATTGCTAAAATTTGGCGATAGGAGTGACATAATAAACGTTGATGCTTCTGCTAGGATGAAAGAAATCAAGAAATCAACATTGGATGAAGTCAAAAGGATAAGTATTCATAAGAATAGCCAGAGTCTTCCTATAAGGAGCAAAGTTGCTTAGTAGTAGTGATCTAAGCTTCCAGAAGTGACGTGGAGTGAAGCATTGTTGATTAGGCTTTCAAGAGGTAGATCTTAGAAATTTAATAAACAGAGACTGTAATGCCAGCATTTAATGCTTTTTGTTTCATATGAATAGTTCTTAAGTCTTTCTATTTAATATCAACAGGAAGGTGCTTTCTATTTAATATCAATAAGAAGGTGCATTCTATTTAATACCAATAAGAAGGTGCTGCTTGCTTTCAATCAGTTTGTGAAAACTATTGATTTGTTTAGGCCATATTTTGCTTTTATCTTAATATACTTCCATAGTGGAGTAAATTCATTATTTTTGTTGCGTCTATTATCTGTATATTGGCAACCTTCTCAGTATCCACAAATGGGTAATAGTATCTTTAGGCAAAAGCTAGGTTTATTTTTTTTAGAAGTTTACATTTTTAAAGCTACAACAAATTAACATGCGAATTGAGCTTCTGATTGAAGAGGTAGAAGTCTGAGATGCAAAAAGATAATTGTATGGTATACCATAAACAAATTTGAAAATGCAGTCTAGTCTCATTTACATCTCTTGTAATGGCAGTGTTGTTATGGGTTAATGGTGGTATAACTTTTGCAGGTTCTGAATAATTGCCGTTCAATGTCTAAATTTGGAGTTCCATTCCGGTCTATGATTGTGACCGGTGGTTTTCGACAGAGAACTCAGTTAGAAAATCTCCAGCAGGGTGTTGATGTTTTAATAGCCACACCTGGTCGTTTCATGTTCCTTATTAAACAAGAAATCTTGCAGCTCAGCAATCTTAAATGGTAACCAATTTTTTTGAGCATTGCATCGTTTTTCCTCCTAAATTTAGGTATATAAGTACTTAAAACTTATGGTGGTGCCTCATTTTAATTTTGGAGTGGTGGATAGCTTTCCCATGGCTATGCTATTTTCTCTTTCTTTCCTTTGGTAAATGTAAAGTGGGGCAAATTTGACTGTCATTACTGTTATGGTGCTCTGTACAAAAGTTTGTTTAAAAAACACTCAATTTGAACAAATAATGGTTTCTATCCTTCTTATTTAGTTTCATTGCTTATTTTACTCTGTGTACACCTGCTTAGCACATTTATTTTTTTCAAGATAAATTCTGATGGAACTAATATCAATTAAATCTTTGTATTGCAGTGCTGTGTTGGATGAGGTGGATATACTCTTTAATGATGATGATTTCGAAGTAGCACTACAAACTTTGATAAGCTCTGCACCTGTTACCTCACAATATCTATTTGTGACAGCAACTTTACCAGTAGCTGTATATAACAAGCTAGTTGAAGTTTTTCCTGACTGTGAAGTTATCATGGGACCCAGCATGCATCGGATAAGCCCAGGTCTTGAAGAGGTTAGTTTCCAATATTATCCATGTTCCTCATTGTTTGCTCTTTCATTTGTGCATACAGATATTTGAATTAGAGCATGAAGACTATTGTTTTTGTACAGGCTATTATATTAAACTCATGGTTGAGCTTATGTCATGTTTACTGGAGAATGGGGGAACCATTGTGTAACATCTCAAGTTTTCTGCTTGGAGAAGATTCATCTTAGATTTTGATAAGTGAGATGGATGACAGGAAATTCTGATTCAAATTGGAACCTGTGGACAAATGGTATTAAGAATAGAACAAAAGGTCCCCACCATATAAAATTATGTTTATTAATATATTTCATGGGTTATTGATAAACTTATGCATGGACTAGAATCATGATCCCATAAAACTGTTCTGGAATGATGTGGTTTCTTTGCTTGTGGAAAAGTTTTGTGCTTTTGGACGGGGAGGAAAGCCTCTATTTTATGGAATTGTAGGATTTCAGCTATTTCATGGCCTCTTCGGTTGGAAAGAAATAGAGGAATTTTTTAAGTAGTATTATGGATAGGGCATTGAGTTCTTATGCAACAAAGCTCAATTCCTTGTTCCTTTATGGGCTTTTGACTGGGAGGCAGTAGTTAAATGACTGTTTCATAGGGTCTTTCTTTTATGGAGCCAGATTCAATGTTAGCTTTTGCGGAGGCTTGTTCTTAGTTTCTAGATGGACTACTTATTAATTCTCTTTTGAAATGCTCCTTTTCTATAAATTTTCTGTTTCATAAAAAACCAAAACAATTAACCAAAAAAAAAAGAAAAAACTCGAGCCTCCATTTTTACCTGAATAATAATAATAGAATTCTAACTGCTAGGTTGCATGTCCAGGTTCTTGTAGATTGCAGTGGAGATAATGAAACGGAGAAAACTCAAGAAACGGCTTTTCTCAACAAGAAATCTGCTCTTCTGCAGCTGGTTGAGGAAATTCCAGTTTCAAAGACAATTGTTTTCTGTAACAAGGTATGTTTCAGCTTTTAGTGTAAAGAAGTTGTATAATATTCCTTTAGTGACTTTTTTGAATTTTCAATTTGTAGATTGAAACATGCAGAAAAGTTGAGAATATATTGAAACGCTTTGATAGAAAAGGAACTCAAGTGCGGGTTCTACCATTTCATGCTGCATTGGAGCAAGAGTCCCGGCTAGCAAATATGAAGGAGTTCAGTAATAGGCAGTCTAAAGAAGAATGTTTGTTTTTGGTTTGCACTGATAGGTATTACAGTTGTGTAATTTTGTAATGTGTTAGACAATAGTGGCGCTGTCAATATGGTTTGGTTAAGAAAAAACTTAATATGAAAATTTTGACAGAGCATCACGGCAAAGTTGCTTAGTAGTAGTGATCTAAGCTTCCAGAAGTGACGTGGAGTGAAGCATTGTTGATTAGGCTTTCAAGAGGTAGATCTTAGAAATTTAATAAACAGAGACTGTAATGCCAGCATTTTATGCTTTTTGTTTCATATGAATAGTTCTTAAGTCTTTCTATTTAATATCAACAGGAAGGTGCTTTCTATTTAATATCAATAAGAAGGTGCATTCTATTTAATACCAATAAGAAGGTGCTGCTTGCTTTCAATCAGTTTGTGAAAACTATTGATTTGTTTAGGCCATATTTTGCTTTTATCTTAATATACTTCCATAGTGGAGTAAATTCATTATTTCTGTTGCATCTATTATCTGTATAATGGCAACCATCTCAGTATTCACAAATGGGTAATAGTATCTTTAGGCAAAAGCTAGGTTTATTTTCTTTAGAAGTTTACATTTTTAAAGCTATAACAAATTACCATGCGAATTGAGCTTCTGATTGAAGAGGTAGAAGTCTGAGATGCAAAAAGATAATTGTATGGTATACCATAAACAAATTTGAAAATGCAGTCTAGTCTCATTTACATCTCTTGTAATGGCAGTGTTGTTATGGGTTAATGGTGGTATAACTTTTGCAGGTTCTGAATAATTGCCGTTCAATGTCTAAATTTGGAGTTCCATTCCGGTCTATGATTGTGACCGGTGGTTTTCGACAGAGAACTCAGTTAGAAAATCTCCAGCAGGGTGTTGATGTTTTAATAGCCACACCTGGTCGTTTCATGTTCCTTATTAAACAAGAAATCTTGCAGCTCAGCAATCTTAAATGGTAACCAATTTTATTGAGCATTGCATCGTTTTTCCTCCTAAATTTAGTTATATAAGTAATTAAAACTTATGGTGGCGCCTCATTTTAATTTTGGAGTGGTGGATAGCTTTCCCATGGCTATGCTATTTTCTCTTTCTTTCCTTTGGTAAATGTAAAGTGGGGCAAATTTGACTGTCATTACTGTTATGGTGCTCTGTACAAAAGTTTGTTTAAAAAACACTCAATTTGAACAAATAATGGTTTCTATCCTTCTTATTTAGTTTCATTGCTTATTTTACTCTGTGTACACCTGCTTAGCACATTTATTTTTTTCAAGATAAATTCTGATGGAACTAATATCAATTAAATCTTTGTATTGCAGTGCTGTGTTGGATGAGGTGGATATACTCTTTAATGATGATGATTTCGAAGTAGCACTACAAACTTTGATAAGCTCTGCACCTGTTACCTCACAATATCTATTTGTGACAGCAACTTTACCAGTAGCTGTATATAACAAGCTAGTTGAAGTTTTTCCTGACTGTGAAGTTATCATGGGACCCAGCATGCATCGGATAAGCCCAGGTCTTGAAGAGGTTAGTTTCCAATATTATCCATGTTCCTCATTGTTTGCTCTTTCATTTGTGCATACAGATATTTGAATTAGAGCATGAAGACTATTGTTTTTGTACAGGCTATTATATTAAACTCATAGTTGAGCTTATGTCATGTTTACTGGAAAATGGGGGAACCATTGTGTAATATCTCAAGTTTTCTGCTTGGAGAAGATTCATCTTAGATTTTGATAAGTGAGATGGATGACAGGAAATTCTGATTCAAATTGGAACCTGTGGACAAATGGTATTAAGAATAGAACAAAAGGTCCCCACCATATAAAATTATGTTTATTAATATATTTCATGGGTTATTGATAAACTTATGCATGGACTAGAATCATGATCCCATAAAACTGTTCTGGAATGATGTGGTTTCTTTGCTTGTGGAAAAGTTTTGTGCTTTTGGACGGGGAGGAAAGCCTCTATTTTATGGAATTGTAGGATTTCAGCTATTTCATGGGCTCTTCGGTTGGAAAGAAATAGAGGAATTTTTTAAGTATTATTATGGATAGGGCATTGAGTTCTTATGCAACAAAGCTCAATTCCTTGTGTCTTTATGGGCTTTTGACTGGGAGGCAGTAGTTAAATGACTGTTTCGTAGGGTCTTTCTTTTATGGAGCCAGATTCAATGTTAGCTTTTGCGGAGGCTTGTTCTTAGTTTCTAGATGGACTACTTATTAATTCTCTTTTGAAATGCTCCTTTTCTATAAATTTTCTGTTTCATAAAAAACCAAAACAATTAACCAAAAAAAAAAGAAAAAACTCGAGCCTCCATTTTTACCTGAATAATAATAATAGAATTCTAACTGCTAGGTTGCATGTCCAGGTTCTTGTAGATTGCAGTGGAGATAATGAAACGGAGAAAACTCAAGAAACGGCTTTTCTCAACAAGAAATCTGCTCTTGTGCAGCTGGTTGAGGAAATTCCAGTTTCAAAGACAATTGTTTTCTGTAACAAGGTATGTTTCAGCTTTTAGTGTAAAGAAGTTGTATAATATTCCTTTAGTGACTTTTTTGAATTTTCAATTTGTAGATTGAAACATGCAGAAAAGTTGAGAATATATTGAAACGCTTTGATAGAAAAGGAACTCAAGTGCGGGTTCTACCATTTCATGCTGCATTGGAGCAAGAGTCCCGGCTAGCAAATATGAAGGAGTTCAGTAATAGGCAGTCTAAAGAAGAATGTTTGTTTTTGGTTTGCACTGATAGGTATGACAATTGTGTAATTTTGTAATGATGGTGGCGCTGTCAATATGGTTTGGTTAACAAAAAACTTAATATGAAAATTTTGACAGAGCATCACGTGGAATGGACTTTGCTGGTGTGGATCATGTCATACTCTTTGACTTCCCACGTGATCCAAGTGAATATGTGCGTCGTGTTGGAAGAACTGCTAGAGGTGCTGGAGGAAAGGGAAGGGCATTTATATTTGTGGTTGGGAAGCAAGTTTCGCTTGCACGAAAGATAATGGAAAGAAATCGGAAGGGTCATCCACTGCATGATGTGCCGTCAGCATTTGAGCTAGTGGGTTGAAGAAATGCATGCAAGGATTGTTAAAGTTGGACTTTCCTAACCTCATCGGAAATGTGGGTTGGAGAAAGCTATCAAAAATGTGGATCTAAAGCCAGTCACAGTCATGATGGCACCAGCTGATAAATTATAAACAGGAAGCTAAACATGCCGGTAATTTATTTGTCAGAAATGACACTCAAGCAAATAAAGTTGTTAATTATTTCAATGTGATGATGAATCACTTATGTGTTGTGCCAAGCATCATAGAGAATGTAAAATGGAACTTTAATCAATGAATTGAGATGTATTTCTTCTTTTTTTTTTTGGCGTAAATGAAATGACAGTATGTAATGGTATTACTATTATGTTTAAAAGAAAATGGAATAGGTTATGATTTGCAACAAAATTTTCTTCTTTGGTGGGATAGGAATAGGATACATATCCTATAATGAGAATTGGATCCTCCTCGTAAGTAACTGAAATGCACCTTTGGATTGATGGAATAATTTAATAAATAATAATTATAAAGAGATAGGTTATAAATGTAAATGTAAGTTTGGAGTGAGAGCAGAGGATAAGGTGAAGACAACTGGTGGGTTTTGGCAATCAAAATCAATCTATCTATCAGAATGGCAGCTACTTCTAGTTGTGTTTGGATGCCAAATCGAAGTCCTTTTTTAGGTTCATGTCAACATGTCTTGCGGGCTACCAAGTTAGTGGCTACCAGTAACAGTACCTGTACCAGGACAATACCATCCCTATCTCTTTTCACGGTTGAAGCCAAATCCCGAACCAGAAGAGAAGACCGCACTGCCCGCCATTCTCGCATCAGGAAGAAGGTTTATTTATTTATTTATTTTTTTAATTCTATAAATATGACCATACACATGAATTTCTGATTCTCTTTATCTTGGCATGCATTGACCATAGTACCACTTGAGATAGTAAAATCCCTAAGGTTGAGCTTCAATGACTGCAATCCTTCTCTAGAGATTAAATTATTTCAGATGAAGATTTTATACTCCCTAAACTTGCCCGACTCAATTTTGAGTCAATCCAAAACTATACTTGGCATGAATCAAGTTTCGAATTATGACTTCCTAAAATCTACTATCCCTTGGAAGGTCAGGGGGGAATGTATTGTCCCAAGGGTGCCACATGCACAGACGCAGTGCTGGCTTATCACCCTGTACCATCCATAAACATCAAATCTTAAAGCCAAGTAGCTGAACCCGCTTGAAAACCAGGAAGTCTCTTGGCGCTGGTATCAGGTGAATGATTTAGGTGCAGAAGCTTTTTCAAAGTTTTATTTCTGGCCTCCCTCTCTTACTTGACCTCACTTTATATTTACATGTCATGCCTCAATCATTGGTACAACTTTAGGATTGCACTGTTTGATGTGGTTCCTATGAAATGAAATTTGTTGGTCAAGACTTTTGCTGATATGCTAATCAATTTTTCTTCCCAGGTTGATGGTACACCAGATAGGCCAAGGCTCTGTGTTTTCCGCTCCAACAAGCACCTCTATGTTCAGGTGGTTGATGATACTAAGATGCACACACTTGCTTCAGCTTCAACTATGCAGAAACCTATCTCTGAGGAGTTCGACAACAGTGCTGGTCCCACCATTGTAAGTTCACAGATATGGTTCAGGGGTCAGCTTGATCAAAAATAGTTGCTACCAAAGTGTCATATCTGTATCGATATCTTTATACCAGCTGCATAGCGCCATCCTTCATCTACTTGTGGTTCTATAGTGTACCTCATATGTTTATACCAGCTGCATAGCTCCGTCCTTCATCTACTTGTGGTTCTATAGTGTACTTCTTATGTTTATACCATGTTTATACCAGCTGCATAGCTCCGTCCTTCATCTACTTGTGGTTCTATAGTGTACTAGACGAGTGGTGATTCCATCATGGCAAAGAGCAATGTTACCCAACTGTCATACTGACATCTTAGTCATAATTTTGGTTTTCCTCCCTAGTTTGGTACAAGTTGTTGTTTATTGTTACTGAGTTTTGATGTTACGATGATATTTTGGCTCAGGAAGTCGCAAAGAGGGTAGGTAAAGTAATTGCAAAGTCCTGTTTGGAGAAAGGGATCACCAAAGTGGCCTTTGATCGAGGTGGATACCCATACCATGGACGTGTAGAGGCCCTCGCCGATGCAGCTCGGGAGCACGGCCTTCAGTTTTAAAATATTTTCAGTCAGTCATTCATTGCGGGAGCACGGCCTTCAGTTTTAAAATATTTCAAGTCAGTCATTCATTGAAACACTGATTTTCCTTGTTCTCTTTTGTGAACTTTGTATTGAAAGAAAAATCAATGCGTGAACAAGATCTGAATTCAAACATCAGTAAGAAAAGTTTTGCAGCTCTGTTGGTCAATTAATTTTGTTAAGTTACTAGGAGAAATTATGAAGCGAACTTGAATAAGTAGAAAATAGTGATAGAGTTGTGCACAACACAAATTTGACTAAACAATAGTAGTCTATGGAGGAATATATATATATTTTTGTTGTAATTACACTCTCACAAACCAAAATTATAAACTATAAAACAAGCATCCACAAAAGATCAAAACACCACAGTTTTTACTGTGGTTCACCTTTCCAAATGTGATGATGATGTGGTTTGTTTATGCCATGGTGGAGTCAGCATCAGTCAAAGAAATCAGCTTCTAATTTAAACTAATACGGCATCGTTTCAGCTATCAAACTTAAGTGCCCTATCTGACACCTGAATTCCATTCTGTTGCAACAGAATGCACAGCTCACCTCACGTTCTCTCTGGTCCCTTTTTCATTTAGCCTTAGACCTTCCTTATTGACAGAAGTTTCTAGTACTCATCTACTCCAACCGATAGCAGATTATACTGGACAGTTGGAGGATGATCAATGGAGTCCTAATTTGTATAAAATCATATCAATATGTGCTGAAGAGAGCAGAGTTTTCAAAGGGATTATTCGAGTGTGTTCTTTCTTGTTTTTCCTGGTTGTATACTCTCTGTAATCTTGGTTTCCTTGAGTAATAAAATACCCTATAGTGTGCCTTGAAGAGTGGATGTAGGCTACCTTAACCGAACCACTATAAATCCCCTCTGTCAATTTTCTTTTCTGTTATTTCATGCTTTCCTTAATCTCTTAATTGATTGCATGTTGATTGATAAGATTGTGTTAGCTCATTGATTGATTTGATTAGTATAGCTGAAAGCCCTAATTAGACACTACAAATTGGTATCAGAGCCTAGTTCGAATCTGAGTTAGGGTTATTTGAAATTCATTTTCTGTAGTTGAAAATCTTATTCCAAAAACATGTCCACTAAATTTGAACTCGAAAAGTTTACAGGGGACAATGATTTTGGACTTTGGAAGATGAAAATGGAAGCTGTGCTGATTAAAGAGGGACTGACATTAACTCTGAAAGGGGAATCTGAGCTGCTTGACACCATGACTGAAGCGGAGAAGCAGGATGTGCTCAACAAAGCTAAGAGCTTCTTGATCCTAGGATTGGGTGACACGGTCCTGCGAGAAGTGAAGAAGGAGAAAACTGCTGTTGAGATCTGGGACAAGTTAGACTCCTTGTATCAATCTAAAGCTGTTCCTAATAGATTGTATTTAAAACAAAGACTGTTTGGGTTTAAAATGGATGAGTAGAAATCTTTAAAAGACAATAAGGATGATTTTCTGAAACTTATACAGGATTTAGAAAGCATATCAGTAGAGGTTGGTAATGAAGATCAGGCTGTAATTCTTCTAAATTCTCTACCTAAACCTTACTCCAATTTTGTAGAAACATTAAAATATGGTAGGTAGACACTTAAATTAGAAGAGGTTGTAGAAGCAATCACAGCTAAGGATAGAGAGAAAAGAATGACATTAGGCAGTGATGGGGAAGGTAAGGGGGTAGATCAGAGAAGAGAAACTGGAAAAAGAGGGGGGGGGGGGGGGTTGGCAAAATAGGAATAAATCTAAGTCCAAAACTGGGAAGTGGAAGTGCTTCTTCTGTCACAAAGAAGGGCATCTTAGGAGGGACTATCCTGAGAGCAAAAATAAGAAGAAGCATGGAAAGAGGAAGAAGAGGGCAGTGCTAGTGTTGTGTCTGAAGGTTATGAAAGTTCAGAAGTATTAGTCATCTCTGAAGGTAGAAACAATGAAGAATGGATCTTAGACACAAGATGTACCTACCACATGACACCAAATAGGGAGTGGTTTAGCTATTTTCAAACTATAGATGGTGGAAAGGTTGTGATAGGAAATAATGTAGTATGTGGCATTAAGGGCATAGGTACTGTTAAGCTGAGACTTCACAATGGCCTAACCAAAATTCTCACCAATGTAAGATATATCTATGACCTCAAGAGGAATCTAATATCACTAGGTACCCTAGACTCAATAGGACTAAGTTACAAAGCTTCAAGTGGAAGTCTTGGTGTAATGAAATGGTCATTAATAGTGATGAAAGATGAAAAGAAAAATGGTCTCTATGTGTTAAAGGGTAGGACAGATTATGGCATAGCTGTTGTAGGGTCTCTAGTAACACAGGATAAAACCTCACTGTGGCATCAAAGGTTGGCACATGTTAGTGAAAGAGGGTTAGATGAGTTGAGTAAACAGAATCTGTTAGGAGGGGATCAAATTGGAACCTTAACCTTCTGTGAACACTGTATTTTTGGCAAAATGTGTAGGGTAAAATTTGGATCTGGTAAGCATTACTCAAGCTCACCACTTGAGTATGTTCACTTAGATGTATGGGGACCAGCTAGACACTGCTCACTAGGGGGCTGTAGGGATTTCATTAGCTTTGTGGATGATTATTCTAGGCATGTCTGGATTTATTTTCTGAAGACTAATGCTGAGGCATTTCTTAGGTTTAAGGAATGGAAAATAATGGTTGAAACTCAATCTAGGAAGAAACTTAAAAGGCTTAGGACGGATAATGGTCTTGAGTTTGTGAATGATGAATTCAATAGTTTCTGTTAAAACCATAGAATTGTTAGGCACAAAACTATTAGAAATACCCCACAACAGAATGGCCTTTGTGTAAGAATGAATAGGACCATCCTAGACAAAGTTAGGAGCATCCTGTCAAACTCTAAGTTATCTGTAAAATTCTAGGCAGAAATTGCACATACTATGGTGTATTTGATTAATAGAACCCCTTCATCTGCCATAGGTTTCAAGGTGCCCTTAGAAAAATGGACTGGACACTCTATAAAGCTAGACAACTTAAAAGTTTTCGGGTGTCTATCTTATGTTCATGTAAAGGATGATAAACTGAAACCTAGAGTTGTAAAGTGCCTGTTTCTTGGATATCCAAAGGGAGTAAAAGGTTATAAGTTCTGGAATCTAGAAACTGAGAAGTGTATAATCAGTAGGGATGTGGTTTTTAGCGAAGAAGTCCTTCCTAGACTAGGATGTGAACCTGGAAAATCAGTTGATAATGACTCAGGATCAGATCTTCTAGAACTGGAAATTCAAGATGTAGTTACTAATCATCAAGGTGGAGTTGATGAGACAGAGGAGAATCCTGAAAATCCTAATACAATTGAGTTGGATGAGCAAGGAGAACATGAACAAGACTTGATAAACTATCAGCTAGCTAGGGATAGAACCAAGAGAGTCATTAAACCTCCCAACAGAGTAGGATATGTAGACCTGGTTGCTTATGCATTTTAGGTAGAAGAAGAGCTGAATGATGAGCCTAAAACATTTTAGGAAGCTATATTAGGACTTGATAAAACTGAGTGGAAAAGGGCAATCGAGGAAGAATTCAGTTCCTTAATGAAAAGTAATACCTGGACCCTAGTTGATAAACCAGAAAACTGCAAGAGTGGTTAAGTGCAAGTGGATCTTCAAAAGGAAACCAGGTCTAACCTCAAAAGATTCACCTAGGTACAAGGCTAGACTGGTAGCAAAGGGGTTCACTCAAGTGGAAGGCATAGACTATAATGAAATTTTCTCCCCGGTTGTAAAGCATGCATCAATCAGAATTCTGATTTCTTTGGTTGTACAGTTCAATCTAGAACTGGAGCAACTGGATGTAAAAACAACCTTTTTACATGGTGACTTGGAAGAGAATATTCTGATGGAACAACCAGAGGGATATTCAGGACCAGCAGGTAAAGTTTGTCTACTAAGAAAATCACTTTATGGCCTAAAACAATCACCACGACAGTGGTACAAGAAATTTGATTCTTTTATGATTGAAATTGGCTTTAATAGATGTCAATTTGATAGCTGTTTTTATTTTAAAAGAAATTCTGATTTGACTTATACTTACTTGTTGCTTTATGTGGATGACATGTTGGTTGCTTGCCATGACAAAATTGAGATTATTCGATCGAAGAAAATTCTTAATACCAAGTTTGAAATGAAGAAGCTGGGCCAGGCTCATAAGATTCTTGGTATTACCATTATAAGAGACAGAATGCAGGGAAGATTGAAGCTGGTTCAAGAAGAATATGCAGAGAAAATTCTGCAGAAATTCAATATGCAGAATGCTAAGGTTGTCCAAACTCCCTTAGGGCAGCACATCAAGCTATCTCATGATCAGTGCCCGAAAACAGAAGAAGAGCAAAAGGAAATGTCCACGATTCTATATGCAAATGCCCTGGGCAGCCTAATGTACCTAATGGTTTGCACCAGGCCAGATCTGGCATATTCTGTAAATTTAGTGAGTAGATTCATGAGCAATCTAGGAAGACTACATTGGTATGCACTCAAATGGATTCTAAGATACTTACAAGGATCAAAATCAGTGGGCATAGTTTTTAGTAAGAACAAAGAAGAAAAATACTGCATTGGAGGGTATGTTGATGCTGATTATGCAGGGGACTTTGATAAGAGAAAGTCCACTTCAGGCTTTCTTTTTACATTGTGGGGAAATGTGATTAGCTGGAAATCAAAGCTTCAGCATATGGTTACACTCTCATCAACAGAATCTGAGTATGTAGCACTGACAGAAGCATCAAAGGAAGCTGTATGGTTTAAGGGTTTTGTGAATGAACTAGAGCTAGAACAGAAAACTGTGGAGATCAAAAGTGACAGTCAGAGTGCAATACATCTGTCCAAGAACCAAGTATTCCATGAGAGGACAAAACACATTGATGTCAGACTCCATTTCATTAGAGAAATGATTGAAAAAAGAGAAGTTAAGGTTTAAAAGATAAGAGGTACTCACAATCCTGCAGACATGCTCACTAAACCAGTAACTGCAGATAAACATAGGCTCTGTATTAGCCTATTACATGTTCAAGCATAATTCAGCTTTGCCAAGGCCACTTAGGGTGTCAATTCACAAGCCAAGGTGGAGAATTGTGATGATGATATGGCTTGTTTATGCCACGGTGGAGTCAGCATCAGTCAAAGAA